TTAATCTTTAAATTGAAGTAAATCAGGCTGATTTGATTACTAAATTTTCCCTCAATAATTCTGGATTATATCACAATATAAAATAACATGTTGCATGTCTTTATATTCTCAGGCAAATGGCTACATCCATTTTCTGCTAAACTTACAGAGCTGGAAACTTTCTACATAGACAATTACAGGACTGTTCAAGTGCCAATGATGTTCAAAACAGACAGGATTGCCTCCACATTTGATCAGACCTTGCAGTGTTATGTGCTAAAGCTGCCATACAAAGGAAGTGTGCAGATGGTGATTGTTATGCCTGTGAAGGAAGCTGATTACATGTTTGTTGAAGACGATCTAACCAATGAACTTGTGGAATCTTGGCTTCAGACCATGAAGACAAGGTACAAGTCATAGCAATCACATCACATTTTTGATTCCTAAAATCCTGGATACAAAATCCTGTAGTACAAATTAAAACGGCCAAACAGAAAAATGGCAAGAGAAATGACAAGAGAAAGAAAAGGGAGTAACTGGGAATAGGCCATTGAAATTTGCCAAAGACAGCCTTTTGATCTTTACAATATTCATCAAAAATAAAGAAAAGCCATTGAGTTCCCTATTACTGAGTTTACTAAGAAAAAAGAATTGGCTTTTACTTAGTTGTTGTTGTTAGTCACGAAGTCGTGTCCAACCCATCGTGACCCCCATGGACAATGTTCCTCCAGGCCTTCCTGTCCTCTACCATCCTCTGGAGTCCATTTAAGCTCATGCCTACTACTTCAGTGACTCCATCCAGCCACCTCATTCTCTGTCGTCCCCTTCATCTTTTGCCCTCAATCGTTCCCAGCATTAGGCTCTTCTCCAGTGACTTATTTACTTATTTAGAAAGGTCTATATCTTCTGTAAGATCTTCTGCATCTGTTTTTGTGAAAGCCTTCCAGATGTCTGAAATTTTCTATAGCTTCCTCTTCCACAAGTTATACTTATCCAATTAATTCAAGTAAGACTTGTCACATGCATTGCCTTTGCATCATTGGTGCTCAAATTTTCATAGCATCCAGAAAGAAAGGAACAATATGTAAATGTTCTGCTGCCTATTTATTTTCACAATTATTTTGTTTATGCAAAGGGCAGTGTATGTTCATTTACCTTCAACTTGCATTTGTATTTGTTTACATTACAGGAAAATGGATATTTACTTTCCAAGATTCAAACTAGATCAGACGTATCACATGGATCAGCTGCTTCAGGATTTGGGAATTAAAGATCTTTTCTCTTATAAAGCAGACCTAAGCCATCTCACAAATCATAAATTTGTAAAAATATCACAGGTAAAAAAAATAACTTGTTAATTCTACTATATTGTTCAACCAAACATATTTAACAAATAGCATGAAGACCCATTCATTTACTGGAGACCCACTTGCTAAACAGTTTGTTTCTCAATTTCATCATGCTAGCTACTTTAACTGGAGGCAATAGAAAAAAGAAACAGGATCTTATAGTTCAGTGACAACCCCCCCCCCAATCTTTTGGGCACCAGGGACTGGTTCCGTGGAGAAAGGTTTTTCTGCAGACTGGAGGGGGCGTGAAACCACGCCCCCTCTAGGCGTGAAGATCCCCACAGATGGGGATGCAAGCCCAGTTCTCCTCTCCCCTCGTGACTCACACAAGCAGTGGGTTGGGATGCACTTGTGCACACACACACACACACACACCCCTCAACTTATGCAAACTGAGCTACATGCTCGTGTGCAAGCCCACCACTCACGCAGCCCAGATCTCCTCTCCCCCATCCCCACCCCCCACAGCCAGGCTACCAACCGCAAGGGTTGGGGACTTCTGTCCTAGAGAAAACCTACTTCGTGCTAATAACTTCCTTGACTGCGTTCATTAACTAGCCTAGTGATTTTTGGGACTCAGTCATCTCCAGAAGTCTGGAGAGATTTAATCTTTTTGACTACCCCTTTTAATTTCCCCTTTCCTAATCTCCTTTCTACAGAATGTTTATCTTTTGAAGTTCAATGATGGTGTATCCCCAATATGTTCTTATTGAGACAAAGTGTTTGTAGCTGTGGATTTAGGATGCTGCTTCCATATAAATGAAAAAAAAATGTATGCATGCTCAATTTTCAGTAAGTTAAGTGGAAATCTGTATTGAAGATGTAGACCGGTTGATAGGAAATGTGAGCATCTTGCTAAAAATCTCCCTACATTTCAACTCTTTTTAGATTCTTCAAAGAGCAAGCATTGAAGTGAATGAGAAAGGAACAGAAGCTGCAGCTGTCAGTGGATCAGAAATCATGGCATACTCTTTGCCTAATACTATGCGGATAAATCGACCATTCATTTTTATGATATATGAAGAAATTACCAAGGTTTTATTGTTTTTGGGTAGAGTAACTAACCCCAAAGAACTGTGAAATAAACAAAACCTAGTAATTTCTTTTTTATTCACCCTATTTTAGTGACACCACAAGCAAACTTCATGTTATACTAAGAACACATTTTAAATATGCTTTCACACTAACTTCTTAATTTTCAGGAGAAAAGGATAGGTATGTGGAAAGCAGCTAAACACTTTCCTTCTTAAAATATTTTAAAATTCCCTCCTCAAAACAATGTTTTTCTCTTATGCTATTAAATATAGCAAGCAGTATCTTTCAGGAAAATGAATTAGAATAAAAATGTAATGGAAGAAATTACATTCACACAATTCCTTTTCCCAAAGCACTCAACACTAAATAGCAAAAAGGAGGATAGTCAAAGGGGAAACTCCCACATCCATTGTGTAGGAAATATCTTCATTCAGACAAAGCAATATGTCAAAAATAATGGGCATGTTCTCCAGAATTATTAATCCAAGATATATAAAAAGCAGGGACCTGATTTTGGGGAGAGCAGGAAGACAAAAAATATCATTTGTTCAGATGTTATGGTCATGAGAACTACATTTTAAATATAGCTGCAAATTACTGCACTTTTCTTTATTGCTGTTAAAAAGTAGTTGAGTCCTCTTCTCAACATAAAGAAATTACAAATGTTTTCTGCGAGCTGATCAGAATTGAGGCCACAGCATAGTACTACAAGATAATGCTGCTATCAAAAATATTTATTAGCATGAGAGAATAGTTACCACTGGTATCATGATCCATTCTGGAGCTTATCTAACTATTTCAGCCTGGCAGAGGAATTGCTGAAAGCAATCAATCAAAGCTATTTCAACTCCTTCATGAGTTTATTCTGATCAGCTTAGTCTTGCTTGAAGTGTACAGATTCACAATAAGAACTTTGCACTTATTGCAAGGGGGATGCTCTACTTAGCAGCAGAAGGGAAGGGAAAGTTATATGTACCAGTTAGCATGAAAAATGAGAGATGGCAGAGGTGGGGAAGTAAATCAGATTGTGAAAACTACAGAGGTATCTCACTGCTATACGACCAAGGCAAGATCTTTGCCTGCATTTGTTTGTATGGACTTGTCATTGTCTTGGAAAGGAACATCCCAGAGGTACAGTGTGGCTTTCGGCAGGAATGGAGTACAGCAGGCATGATATTTGACATGAGGTGTGTCCAGAAATGCACTGAGCAGAACACGCCTTTTTACTGCTTTCCTTGATCTGACAAAGGCATTAAACACTGTAAAGAGGGAGTCTCTCTGGATCTTCCTAAGATGTTATGGATGTCCAAGGAAATTTGTGAGGTTGATTCAGCTACTCTACAACAGCTGCATTTATCATTTCCAATGGAGTTAAACAGGATTGTGTGTTAAACCCAGTTCTATTCAACCTGTTCTTCACTTGCATGTTATCACATTTTGTCTAGGTGGTACTGTATATCAGGTACCAATTGGAGGCCCTCTCTTTGACCTTCACCACTTGAATGCACAAAGTGCTTCTATAGAGTCACTCAAGAAACCCTCTTTGCTAATGATTGTGCATTCCTGATACATAAAGTAAGTGATTTCCAATTGATGCTGAATAATTTCTTACATACTGCTATGCTCTGATTATCAGCTGATTAGAGTATCAGATAATCAGCCTGATTATTAGTCTGAACAAGACTAAACTACTTTAGCAGGCCATGTTAAGTTATCTGTACCTGTAGAACAGTGGTGGGTTCTAACCGGTATTACCACCAGTTCGCTTCGTGCACATGCTTTGCATGCGATCGCTGCGTGCATGCTCGTTTCACTCGCACGTGCGCCGAACTTGTGCTTTGCGCAAGCACATTGAATAAAAATGCATCTGAGGCATGGCAATCCACTCCGCCGTGCCTTACAGCTGGACTAAAAATGAAGGAATAAAGGTAGGTATAGCGCAGGGGCGGGCAGGAGGGCCCAGCTGATGGTCGGAGCTATCTGGTTCGCTCTCACATCAAGATTTCCGCTACCGGCTCTCCTGAACCAGGGAGAACCGGTAGCAACCCACCACTGCTGTAGAACCAAAAGTCACTACAGGTAATCCCTGGGTTACAACTGTTCCCTTAGTGAATTTTTGAACCAGTGGTGAAATCCACTTACTTTCGCTACCAGTTCGGGAATGGGGACACACGCGCACCTCTTCTGCATATGCAGAGAATCTTCTGCGCATGCGCAGATGGTAAAAAAACAGGAGTAATGACGTGCTGGCAGATGGCCAGAGCCTCCCACCACCAGCGCTACCAGTTCGGTGAGCCAGATAGAACTGGGGAGATTTCACTGCTGGTTCAAACCTAAGCGATAAGTGCCCCCTAGCGTTTGCAAACAAGGCCCGAAACTATGAATCTTGCAACACCACAGCAGTTGTTCGCCCTTACGAACAACCATAGAGGATCTGCAACATTTGTCCTGCACGTTGCCGGCCAAAATGGAGCTTCTGAGGGGCGGATCTAGCCCTCAGAAGCCCCTTCAGGCATCCAGGGGTCTCCTCAGGCCCATTGCAGGCCAAAATGGAGCCTCTGGGGGATAGATCTAGCCCTCCAAGGGTCTGCTCAGCCCTCTTGTGACGAAGGCCCAAGTAGTGATTACCAAACACAATTCAGTCCTCAACAAACTTATTTTATTAAAACAACTGAGAATTAATTCATTCTCAGCTTAGTCCAAAACAAAATTCTTAATAACTAGTCCGTTGGCCTTATCACCAACCTTTGATGTCTTTGACAACCTGCCAAAGGCTTTTCTTGGCAAAAGCCCCACAAAGTTCAAGAGACGCTGACAAGAAGCATGGGAATCAACATTGCTTTTCTACAAAGAAGCCAATGGCTCGTTGCTGCTTTTTTAAGTCTCACGGGAGTGGCCAATCATCTTCTGGCCTTACTCCTGAGTTGTCCTTTTTTCTTCAGCTGCTCTTGCCTTCTGGCAGCTCTTCGCATGCCTGCACTAGGAACAGGCTTCTCCTGTTCCTCTGCCTCTCTGCTGTCCGCCTCTGGAGGCTCCGAAGTCTGCGCATCGCTCCCAGATGGCCCTGGCCCCATCTCTGCCTCCGATGCAGAGCCCTCGTCCGGGTCTTCCGGTGACTCTAGGACTGGCCCATTGTCCTCCCCAGTCTCCTCATTGTCCGGCTCCGCTGCTGGCAGACCACAACAGGCTCTCATGGGCCTCCCCCAGCCCATTGCATCCGTGGGACGGATCCACCCCCCGGAAGCTGTATTTCTGCCTACAATGGGCTGGGGGAGGGCCACGGAGGGCTGAATTGAGCCTCGGAGGGCCAGATGCACCCTCCGGAGGTTCCATTTCGGCTGGCAACCTATGAGGAGACTGCTTGCTAGATCTTCACAAGGTAAGTGACCCAGCGCGGCAGATCGGGGGGAAAGCAATTGTGGGTAGCATGAGGTATTTTATTGTGGGTCGGGGAAGCCTTGGGTGGTCTTAGGCAGGTGGCCTGTTCCATCAGTAGCCCCCCATGGCCCACATTGATGGGTTTCCAGTGCCCCCATTGTGCTAGATTCTATACCTCCAGACTGGGACTACAGAGCCATTCCTGTGTCCACGGATAATTGCACCAGTGCTTCTTCTTTGAACCCAAAGGACCACTATACAGACTTTATCACAGAATTTATAATTATGGAGCACTCAGCAAAAGGCAATACCCACAAAATACTGGAAAGTTTCACTTTTGGGAAACAGTGTATGAGTTGCATCATAAGGGAAGGCTATATTGGATGTTAGTTAAAAAGGACTAACACTGGATGAAATCTGGGACAGTGTCTATAGATGAGATGATAAAGAAATATCACGGAGGAATTTAGTTGCTACATTTGGATTGCTGAATGTTCTCCGCATGATACTGTGAATGTAAATTTCTTAAGAATACAAAAAATCCACTTATTCCAAGGCAAACCACTGGTTCATGGAGCTCAATATCATTTAAATATGGCAACAGTTTTCTAGAGCTTCAAACAGATATCATTTGCAGACCCATCTGGAAAGACCAGGTATTGAAACTAAGATCTTCAACATAGAAAACATGCTCCACTCCACTTTCCAGCTACTGGTGTTGCTACTTTAGTGTTGAAGTGAATAGCTTATTCTTTAAGGGGTTGGTTCGCCACTATAGGAACAGAGAAGTTTTGCTATGCTGCATGTATATTAGACTTATATATTAATCACTAGTGTAATGGATACAGAATATTACTGTCTCCATTTTTTTTTAATTTAAATTAAAAGCTGCAAATTAAATCTCTCCCACCCAAAACATTCCAGTATTTTAATGGCCTAAGTTTTATTGTGCATAAAGCATTCATTATTTCACATTGTAAAAAGTAACCACACATTTATTCATTCACAAATTAGATTATCTTTATCATACACCAACATATTTAAAAAAACAGATAGTCTGATATCAATATAGTTTTGCTGATTGCATTTGTGAAGTAGAGAAGCTGACAATAGCTTCATACAGTCTCTCTCAAGTATTGGCATAAATTGAATGTTTTAAATAGAACTGCACTTTGCAGGCAAATTTTGATAGGAATGTTAGCATGAATACAAACAGAATGATGTTGATAGAGCTAAAAGCATGATGGCTTGAATTAACTACTAATTAAAAACTAGATTAATCATCTCTAAAATGTTGGATAAAGAGAAACTACAATAGGATATACTGGTAAATTAAAACAAAGTATTTGTACAATAAAATTGCAATGTGAAATTTAAGAAATCATTCATATGCTATTTGGAGGTATCTGTTTCTTATTAAAAAGTGAAAAGAAATCCTCTTGACATTTTATACACTAGATAAGCAATATTATCTAAAATTATAGCATAAGTTTATTTTAAAGGACTACACTTCTCCACGTTTCTGTTCATGCTTCCAGATTCCACACTGAAGCTTCTTCGATATTTAAAAGCTTTTTCGTAAGAGAAAGTGTCACTTGTTCAGTTAATTCTTATACGCAGAGCAATTTCACACATATGGCCCTATTTCCATAGCAAAGGCAAATTAGGAGTCCATAAGCTTGTAAATAGCTATATTTTAAAGTAGAGGGCACTTTCATTCCAAACTGAATAACCTGAACTAGTAGAAGGCATAATTGAGAGGGGGGAAGTAGGGAAACCCTGTCTCTTTAGCTGCAGCAGATTTAAAGCACATTGCTAAAGTAACGTTGAATTAAGCACTTCACGTACAACATTGGCATTCTGCACATATTACATTATTTCTATGAAGATATTTTACAACATAGGAATTTATTTAACTGACAGAAGATGTTAACATTATGGTATCAAATCAATCCCTCCTTCCTGGTCCTTAAATTCAAGGTTGTACTCTAGCTTTATCCAATCCTGACTTCAGCCACATTGCCTCCAGTGGTCTTTGGTGTGCATGCTTTCTTTCACCAGCTCTAGGAGTTTGATTTTCTGTTTTTCCTTGAGGGGAAACAAAAACACTCTTATCACACAGAGCAGAATAAATTAACAGTGTTCAGAACTGCTAAGTTCTTGCAGTCATCATTTACAGCTCCAAAACTGTTGTGATCTTAAACACATATATTATAAATAAAAAAGAATCAACATTATTTCTTCTAAATCCAATAATAAGATGCTTTTTAAAAAGAACAGTCTTGATTCAAGGCGCACTCACTTTCCCATCCATTGTGCCATCCAACTCCATTGGCTTCCTTCCCACTCATCCCACACACCCTGTGGATTTTCTTTTTGTGGAAATTGTCCATCCATCACTATGCAATAAAAAAAATCTGCATATAGACCTCAAAATACTCGTATCTTAAACTGTTAAAATGTATGTTGGAAAACATACATATGTACATACATATTAAAAGACGTTTCTTATAGAATATTTTTTTTTAATCAGACTCATTTGTTTTAATAGTGATCAACACAGAAAAGTGGGTGAAGTCATCCATAAGCATGTGGGTATTAGTACGCTGACAATATGCAGTTTTACAACTGCCCTGGGCCTTCCATGAGATGCTACCGAGGTGCATCCTCAGTGCTCAGATACTTGTGCATTTGGTAGGGAAGAATCACCTTCAAGCTTAAAAAGACTGAATGGCTGTGGATTTGGCACTTGCCCTCTCCCCAGTGAATTTCCATTGTTAAATTTGGATAGGGTATCATTCACCTATGCAAAGTTGGTCTCCAATGTGAGGAAGTTCTTAGACTTGTGGTTCTTGTCTGAAAACCAGATGGCAGCCATGGCCAAGAAATCTTCATACAATTATAGCTTGTACTCATTTTTGGATCAGAAGACATTTCATGGTCAATCACACCTTAGTCATCTACTGATTGAACTACTGCAGCATGCTCTACATGGGCTGTCCTTAAAAAGCATTCAGAAGTTTCAAGTGGTCCAGAAAGCAACAGCATATGCAATATTGGTCTTACTACAGAATCCTCATGCAATATTGCTGCCACATGTGTTACAGTGACTTCCATCTACAATTCAAGGTGCTAATTGTTACCTTTAAATTTCCAAATGGCATGGAACCAAGTCACTTGCACGACTGCTTCTCTCTGGTTTCTGTCCATCCCACCAAATCCAACTGTGTAGGCAGGTATTAGATCCCATTGAAGAATGTCTTTCAGTGGGCCCTAGGAATCATGCCTTCTCTGTCATGCTGCCTGTCTTGTGGAATAGCCTACTCCTGAGTTACGGATAACACTAACCCTAGTGGCCTTTCAGAAGGCTGCAAAGACCAGCTTTTTGACAAGGACTGGGACTAGAAGATCAATGGACTTCTGGCATGAGTTGAGTTTTATATATTAAAAATGATATATTTAGGGCTCCCTCTATTTAATGGATTTGTAAATCTTGGATGATAAGTTTTATTTTTGTGCACTGCCCTGAGTTCCTTTGACAGATGGAAAGCTTTATACATTTATTAAATATACAAATAAATTTGAACAACAAAGGAATCTGCTTCCAATAGAAGAGAATATATATAGCTCAGGGTTGAATGGTGCAGTCGTTGATTTTCTCTTTTTGAGTAGTGTGTCTCTTTTGAGTAGTGTATAAATATGGTTTATTTCAATGTATCTATTGGTTGATTTGTCTGAATGCCAAGCTTCCAGCAATTCCCTAGCCTTTTTGTATTTACTAAACAGGGAACAAATCCCACATTAACTTGTATCAATGATGTTATCTAGTTGAGTAATGAAATGTCTACAGGCAAATCCGCCCAGAGTCATTGGATACGAGATGGGTAACAAATAAATTTAATAATGTTTAATAAATAAACAAACAAACAAGCTCAAAGAGCGCCAAGGACTCTTCAGGATTTCACATTGGAATCTGTTTTTAATATGATATCTGTCCTTATAGGACAATTTTGATGTATTTTCCACTGCCTGAAAATGGGACAATCTTTATTGATTGTGACTCAATCAAACTGAAGATCCTTGTTGATTGTGACTCAATGAAGCCTACAATCAACTAGAAAATTATTCAGTGCAGTTACAGGAGCTAAGAAATTTTTACACTGGCAAACTGTCACTGATTCAACTCCTCCCATCTCTTCCCTTTTCTGCCCTTTTGGGCACTCTGCACTCTTGTCATCTATCCCTGCCACTGTCAATGCCAGTAGCTGAATTGCCAACTTCTTCCTCCCAGTACTTGCCCATGATCCCGGCATTAGGTGAGGGGTGGACTCAGGGACATGAGCAGCAAGTGTGGTAGGGTGGCGATGCCTCATCTGCCAAAAGAAATTTGCTAGGCCCAGCCAGGGAAGAAGTAGCTGGACAGAGCTAGTAGAGGAGACAGGGTGGCAGTGTGGAAAGGAGAAAATAGATGGATGGATCAGTGAGGGCCAGCAGTGGCCTCAGCCAGGCATGCCCTTCCTCCTGCTGGAGTGGCTCCAGTGCCTAGAGGGCTTCCTGTAGCTGATTTTCCAGGAGCATCTCCAATGTGAGCTGCAGAACATGCACTGTATCTCTGGGAAGCCCTTGTTCCTCTACTGCTTCCAGTTCTGCCCTACCCTGAATGACACCTTCCATTTGATCGCCACCTTCATCTAGGGAGCCACTTGCCTCTGCTGCTTTGCCTGGTGATGGAGCATGCCACCATCCCATCCTCCTGTACTATCCACAGTATGTAGGCTATCACTCCCTCCACTGGTGGCAGATGATGATGATGCTCCACCTGCACCACAGGCCTGCCTCCTCCATTGGCCAAGCTCAGAGACCTCTCTTCAGAAGACAGGGCTCCACCACCTAGCTATATTCACCACACACATCCCAGCACCTAGATGCTAAGCCAATATTGTGAGGAAGAAAAGTCAGCTAGGGACAGTAGAAGTGGTGGCAGGGATAGACAAGGTGATAAAAAGGATGGAATGTAGAGGAAGATAAGCAGGTGGAGGGAGTTGAAGCAGAGGCAGTTCATGCAGGGTAATATTTTTTATTTATTTATTTAAAGAATTTATATGTAGACCCACTCACTTTCAGTGACTCTAGGTGGCTTACAAAAAAATTTAAAAACCCAATATAAAAAGAGTAAGAACAATAACACCCCCACCTCATGGCGACAACAAGCCACCAAACAAGCTACCTGATGGGCTCCATCTCACTCTTGATTCCCCAGACCCATTGACAAAACCAGGTCTTCTGGGCCTTGTGAAAGAGTGTCAAAGTGGGACCCAGTGTAATCTCCATGGGGAGGATGTTTCAAAAGGAGGGAGCCACCACGGAGAAGGCCTTTCTTTTGGGCCTCGCCAGATTTACCTCCTTGGGATAATGTGACTGTCGAGTACTGCAACCATTGTAAAGGCAGGCCAGTTTGCCAAGCATTCAAATTTTAATTACATGACAATAGAGGCACTGCAGCAGTCAGAACTTCAAGGAATGGTCATAACTACAGTTTCTGTTATAATTTTGAACTGAATGGATCATCAATAAGCGAGGACTACCTACTATTAATTCATATACTTGAGGTATCTATTCCAGTCCTTCAAACTGTGTTAAATTACTTTTGAAAATGGAGAAGTTTTAAAAACATGACATGAATGATGGCATGACATTTATTTTAAAGAAAAAAAGTTAGTAATATATGCCCAACCGGGGTTTTTTGAGGGGGGGTTTTGTCTAATTTAGTTTGTTAGATCCTAGCACAATGAAAAAATATATATTTATTTTTATTCACTTTGTATGGATCCTTTCTTTATGTTGCTTTCAGCCATATTTTGCTTTCATCGCTTTTTTCCTCTCTTCCTGGCATTTTCCCACAAGTGCACTTTTTTCAGATCAACCGAGTATTGATTCATTGCCTGCAACAGGAATTGACCAAATTGGCTTCTCACCTGAGCCTGACATCATGGGCTGAGAGAGTGGCTGGCCTCAAATCATCCAGATGGCTTTCATGCGCAACGTGGGACTAGAACCCATAATCTAGTTTCTAGCCTGGTACCTTAACCCCTAGACCAAACTGGCTCTCTTTTCTGCTACTGTTGCTTAACTGTTAGAAAGATTATGTTAAAAGACAGGTATCTTTAACATAAATTATATTGCCAGAACAATCATACCTGCCTGTCATTGTAACTTGCATACCTTAATTTGATGAGTAATAATGTGAATAAGCTTCCCGTGTTCTTGTTAACAATATTTATTTCTGAGTACTAATGTTAAATTAAAGGAGTTATTTAGAACATTAGTAGATATTTTAGCAGTATATGCCCACGTGGTAAAGTATTACTTATCCCAACCCACATTAAAATTATTCATCTTAAGAATACCAATGCCTGACTAGCTATATATTTTAATGCTTTGTGAAGGAGTGTAAGAATCTAAGTTATTATGTTGAAAGAAAATCTCTAAAGCTCTTCACAATGAGCAGATGTACAAAAGATAATAAAACCAAATGCAGTACCACAGTAGCAGAACATACTTCTTTTGTAATTCCCCATGTTTGTGATTCATGTTTGCTGTCTATTTGAGTATGACTCATCGAACACAGTCTATTTGCTAGCAATGGGAATGAATATGTTCTGTTTCAAAAACTCACTAATGCAGGTCTCCTGTGGGTAAAACCACTTTCTGGATGAACTCCTATGAATAGCAATGCAGTACCAAAGAAAGTTACAGGCCTACTGTAAACTGAAAATTGATTCAGGTACCTGGGAATTCCCACATCTTCCAGTTGAACACCATTGAAATATAAACTGGGATGCAATCATACATCTTTCTAGTTTTCAAAACAATAGTACAGGTAGTCCACAACTTACAACAGTTCATTTAGTGACCATTCAAAGTTACAAAGGCACTGAAAAATGTGACTTATGACTGTTTTTCACAGTTACGACCTTTGCAGCATCCCCACGATCATGTGATCAAAAGCCAGATGCTTGGCAACTGCTTCATATTTATGACCTTTGCTATGTCCCAAGGTGGTGTGATCACCTTTTGCGATCTTCCAACAAGCAAAGTCAATCGGGAAGTTAGATTCACTTTAGCAACCAGGTTACTGACTTATCAACTACAGTGATGCACTTAACAACTATGTCAAGAAAAGTCGAAAAATGGGACAAAACTCACTTAACAAATGTCTCACTTAACAACAGAAATTTTGGGCTCAGTTGTGGTCGCAAGTCAAGGACTACCTGTATTCACAATGCTCTTCTATGTGCAAACAGCTCCACCTCCTCCAGGCTTCAGAAACATGACTCAGATGTTCGTGATCAAAGCCCTATTTCTGCAGCCCAACAGAGGAGCTGAGGTCCACTCAGCAGGCAGCAATTTTTAGTCAGCCCCCAGAGACAAGAGAGAGATCTCTGGCAGGTGGTAGCAGCTTGCAAACTTCTCTGCTGGCTTCCCCACTGACTTTCCAAGAAAGTTAGCAGAGATGATTGCAAATGGCAATCACATGATCACAGGGCACTTGGAAATTGGTCATTAAGTGTGAACAGGTTGCCAAATGCCACAAATGCGGTCATGTGATCACAGGGGGAGCAGCACAATGTTTTATAGCAATAGCACTTAGGCTTATATATAAATAACTTTATTGTACATGTATACACAGTATACCATACAACGAAATTCACTTAACATCCAACATCCAGATCCAACACACATAACAATCCCCAAACACATTCCCACCCACCACAATTCCCCACCCCTAAACCACCCAAACATCCACACAACAGACCAAGTATACTTGGTTTGTTGTGTGGATATACTACTTCACAGTGCTTTATAGCCCTCTCTAAGCAGTTTACAGAGTCAGCATATTGTCCCCAACAATGTGGGTCCTCGGAAGGAAGGAAGGCTGAGTCAACCTTGAGCCAGTGAGGATTGAACCCCTGACAGTCAGCAGAATTAGCCTACAATACAGCATTCTAACCACTGCGCCACCACGTCTTATGATGGCCAGAAGTGTTTTATGGGCCATAAAGCATTCTTTCTGAGGCAACTATAATTTCAAACAGTTGTTAAATAACCAGTTGTAAATTGAGGATTACCTGTAATATCAAAAAATACAGGGGGCTGATGAATCCAATTGCAAAATAACAGTGCCTACAGTAAACTCTTTATTTATCAATACATTCATACATATGAATTTGTACCTCTGTAGACCATCATTTGAATCCATGGCTCAATTTAAGATTATTCCAGAATGATGATCAGTACAAGTTCAAAGTCATATGTGTGATTCACAGAGATAAAGAATACTAATTCCACACTTCTCTTACCCACATCTAGCAGCCTTAACATACAGTGATAACTCGACTGCAGCTATTCCTGATAATAATGATTATTTTAGTCATCATACTAACCAGAACTATCATAGGAATTCTAGTTCTTTGTACAGTATATTTGGGCCAGGAACATTGTTTTTGAGATGAAATAGCTTACCAAAACACTCATAGCCTCCCAAATACTAAATCAGAAGAGTTAAACCATAACTTAATTCAAGGGTTGTCTAGTCTTATTGATAAATTAGAATGAATCTGTAACTACTACTTCTCTGTTTTTGCTAAAATAGTGGTTAAAACAATCATAAATAATTATGTCAACATAGCTATGGGACTGATGACATAAACAGTATTCATTTTTATCCTGAGTAGGAGAAACAACTTAAATGAACATGAAAAATCAGTCATTTATTGTAATCTTTAATTCTGAACTAATTTTAGTTGATCACTTACAAGCTAACCTTCCGTGAATGGCTTTCTTTATTCCCATTGCTTTTTTGATCAACTGTGTTATTTGTGTTACGAGAAGAAGATGGTAAGGTGGAAGTAGAGTTAAAAGCAGCAGTGCCACTGACATTGGTAGGACGAGTTCGGAAGGAATCGTCTGAAAGAATATATATATAACATTTCAGAAAGTCAGGTTATAATTAAATTAATTTGTTTCAGAGCTACAAATTTTGTTAGTTGTGTGAACTGATTATCAAGCAAGCATGCTGGCTTATATAATTTCTTGCATTTGGGGCAAAACTAAGAGCATTAGACTCTTTAAAAACAAAATGAAGCCACTAAAAGAATTGTAATAAATTATTATTTTGAGGGAAATGAGCAGTTAAGAAACATGAAATATAAAAAAACAAACAAACAAACAAACAAACGAATGAAAAGTAACACAACTTTCTTACCAGTAAATGAAAACATAGAATTCTTTGCTACTCCTGACACAGAAGTATAGCCTACTGAAGAACTTTTGCTGAAGGAACAAAAATATATATAATAGGAATGTTATGTTTACTTATTGTTATTAAGTTTTTTTCTAATTTTTCATTTCAGAGATTTCAAGACAATTCACAATGTTACACAACATGGTAAAATGATAAGGAATAAAGTTAAAGAGGGAACAAACCTCAAGTTCACAATATAAATCAGAAATATAAGCAACTAGTGAGAAAGAAAATTTGTAACCTTCCACAAATAAGTCCCTGCCTTGCCCGGGAATTATTCAGGCATTTACTGACACGGGTAAACATTGTAATGCCTTAAATAATTAACACAGTAGGACCATTGACCTGTGTGGAAAAAAACATATTTCAAGCATCCTGGCCCCTAAAATTGAGAATGCTTTAAATAATAGCCAACATGTTAAAGTGTTCCTTAATTTACAGAGGACTTTCCTCAAAGACATAGATGTGTGCACTCCTTCAGCTCAATCACAATCTAATTATATAGTAATAGTCCTCAATTTATCATTACAATTACACCTGGAATTTTGGTTATAAGTTGTGGTCATAACCTTTTTGCTTAACAACTGCAATCCTGGCTCTCCCAGTTGTAATCATAAATGACCTCATGGATTGTTGAGCAGACGGAGTGAAATAGCTGCCTGCCAAAAGTGGGCAGGGAGCGCCCCACTGTGCATAAAAAAGAATGCCTGGCCTATGTTTCTCCAGCTCAATGCAGGAGTTCCCCTCCCTCAATCCAAGCTTTATTTCTGCAGTATTCTGCAGCCCAGGAAATGAATGAATGGAGGGAAGGGGGAAATCCTTTGGAAGGCAACAATAGCTTAAAACCTTTCCTGCCAGTTTTCCCATTGATTTTTTCTGGGAAGGCCAGTAGAGAAAGTTGTAAATAGTAATCACATGACAACCCATCACAGGAGTTCCTCCCCGCTTCCTTCATGGAAGGCAACCACTGAACTGGGCTGGGGAAAGGAAGCTTAGATCTTCAGGATCCAAGCTTCTTTCTCTGGCCCAGCATGGTGGTTCTCCTTCTGTCTGTGTGCAGGAAGGAACTGCTGCACTGGGCTAGAGTAAGGAAAACTGAAACTTCAAGATCTGAGCTCCTTTTCGGCCCTGTCACAGGAGTTCCCCTCCCCTCCACATGTTAGCTTTTCTGCCTTCAGAAACATCTGTTTGCTAGCTTTTAAGTGGATTTTTTATCCACTTAATTTTTAAAGTATAGCACATCACTCAAAGAACAAATTTTTTCAGCCCTTCCTTCACCAAAAGAACTGTACGTTTGAACTGGCAAACCGAACGTTACGCTTCCATAATGAGCAGCTACAGTGTAACTTGTATATTACAGTTATGAACCTAACATTACAGAAAACAAAATATTATATACCTGGGGCATTTGTCAATGTTGCCATATTTTGACTGCAGAGCTTGACTACTGAAAGACTGACTTCGAACCAATTTAGACTTTTTTACTTCTTTGCCTAAAATAAAAAATAATGAATATAGCTCTTTCTTAGCAAATATATAACTGCAAGTGCAATCCATAATCTGCCAATGAGTAATGCTAATAGATATGAATATGTGGTGTATGAGTTTTTTTGGAAGCCATGGTTATGTTCCAAAAACCATTATCTTCACTGAACATAAAGGTCCAGTTATTAATTTATGGAATTCTGACAAGACATGTGATCTAATTTCATTGAATACAAGTTAACCATACAGGAAGTGATTGTCAGAATTTGAAGTCCCATTATTTACATTATTATACTGTGCTATCTTTACTATCTTGAGCTCCTGGAAAAAGGTGGAAAATATATACATTTCCATCATACAATTCCCCCTTTCACGGTAAACAAGCTTAAGAAAAATACATACAACGAATTAAAATAGTAAAGGAAAGAAATTAAAGATAGAAAAGAAGGAGAAAAGTATCTGCAAAACCTGGACCAAAAATGAGATCAGTACTACCTGGAGAGACCCCCCCCCAAAAAAAATTAGCTTGAAATCAGTAGATTTCTAAATACAGTAGTACATTCATCCACATACATACACATATACATACCCCATCATTTACTCTTTTTAGAGGTATTATATAGAGTGCAGAAAAAGAGTTCAAATCAGAAGAGGGAAAATGGAAGTATGAGATAAGAAAAAACTGAATCTAGTTCATATATCTATATCTTTTTTTCAATATCCATAACTTTCAATAACTTCCTATCTTTGCAAATCATCCTTACTTCCACCATTTTCTTATGCTGACTTTTGTTCTTTTAAACTTTTCAATTCTTTCTTTTTGAGGATCTCATCAACTCTTGCCTAATAAAATATTCTTAGTCATCTCCTTTGTCCTGGCTTATTCATTGTTTCCCCCACAGATTTGTTTACAATTCACCCCCATTTGTTCTCTCTGTATTACCAAAACACCTCAATTGTGTTTTTCATACTGGTCACTCACTTTTCTTATCAGCCCACATTTGTTTATCCCCCAGTAAATTTTGGCCATATCTCTACTTTTACTATAACATGCTTTTTATGCAATATATTCTCACTCCATTCACCTTATTTTTAAGTTTCTCCTGCAATAACTTCCATATAAAAAGTAGATAAAAGCACTCTCTTATAGATAACTATTTTGAAGATTTTTAAACATTCAATTACTCAATGACTGCTACAAACTCAATATTATCTTTCCAGCTGGAGACATTAGGGCTCAAATGGGCTAATTTACAAAATGCATCCAAAATTCAGGATCCATGATTCACATGAAATTGAAGTTTGGCAAATTTATGGAACATTTTATAACAAAAAAATCAACATCAAGCATTTTATGACATAATACAACATTTCATACAACATTTCGTGTGGTCATCTCCCAATGTTTGGCTGTGCTTATAGTTCAATGTGGGCTACTTTCAAGGCAGATACATTTCTGAATATGTTCCTGAATTTTTAAGTGTATTTCCAGTGCAGGTATATCTTTAATGCCTTTCACAGATCATCTGAGACAATATACTGTGATGTTTTTCTACCTATTCCCTTATGTTCTTTGCAAAATAGATTGGATTTTTAAAAATTGTGCAGAAGATATTTGTTTCTTACTTGCTGAAGCGCCTGAAGGATTTCCAGGAACAGACATTGGGATAGTTTTGGCTAAAGTTGATGATGTTTTACTGTCTCTACCTAAAACAAAAGTTATTATATGCACCGTACAAGAACAAAACTAATATTCCTACTATTTTAAATTAAACACAATTCATCAAATAATACAAGCATTAATTATCACTTATATCAGCAAGTGATACATTTGCGTATTTTGAGCCTCACCAAAATGTAACATGCTTTTTTTACAGATACTGCAGAAAAATAGGCCATCATTTAATACAATGTTTAGTGCTTAAGTTAAATTCTTTATCAGAACAATCAGCAATCAAGTCTTTCAACTGAAGAGTTAATCCATAGAGCTGATGCATGAAATAAGCTCAATATTGTTTGTTTCTACACTTAAGAGTGGCATGGTCAGCTTGCTGGTAGAGCAAACCTAGAAACAAGTACTTTTAATGCTGGCTTTAGGACAATCATAATGCAAAACAGAAGGAATTAGCCTCATATTTCTCTTTCTTTTACTTCTGGGAGTGATTTTTTTCAACTTTCTCCCATTGTTAATGATGGCTTCAAGGTGCCAGTGTGCAAAAGTAAAATATACTTAATATAAATAATGTAATGTTATATTTTATTTCTTTTCTGTTGTAACTTTTAACTCATTTTTAAAGCACTGTTATTTTTATTATGTATTTTTATGTTTTGTTTCTTGATAAAAGTTAAAGTTTTTGTTGAAACTTTTCCTAGAAAATAAGAATTGGGTCTTTTCCATATTGTAAGTTTGCAGTTCCTACTTCAAATATGCTAAGGGTCAATCTATAAAAGTACACACTCCTATGACGAGGAAACAAACCAACAAAAATCACAGCCACTTACGCTTCTTTTCATAAATTTTATCACTCATATTTGCAGACCTGCTCTCATTTTGCTGTTTCTCTTTTTCTAATTGTTCCTAGTAGGGAAACAGTGTAATAAAAGTGTTAATGGAAAAATGGAAAAATAAAATCTGGATTAATAGGCTGCAGCTTTTATGCTAGCATGTTTTTTTGATCTGCCTAGGTTCAAGAAACAGCCTGAAATGCTTTATGTTATCAATGATAAAAGAATTGTTTGTTCATAGTACCATATATATTGGTGCAGAAGCTGCCAACCTCCCCTAAAAATAAAGCCATAAATATATAAATAAGCTCTCCTCTGATGCTATCACATTGTTTAGTTGCTTTCTCTCTGAAAAAGAAGACACAGTTGTAAAATTCTAGGAGAGCACCCAGATTGGGAAGAACCAATTGTTTCTCTGAGTAGATGTTCTACTTGTGGAGACCAATAATTTCTCCAAAGTAACCTTGATTTAGACCTAAAAGGACTCAATTTGATACATGGCATAATATCTAGAGTTGTTAAAATAGACAGTGTAATTATACTCTGCAATTTTCTGATTATTAAAATCATGCCTATCATGAAAAAAGCAAGTCGTCCTAAATAGCAAAGTAAATTAATTTCACCGAAGGATGAAATGAAGAAATATATGAAGGCAGAAACTGGCATCTGATCATCTGACTCTGGAAGCAAAATATCATGGGATGAGGATTTTTTTGTGGCTCCACAGTAGACAGTGAAATGTTCTATGCCAGAGCTGACTATGAATTGATGTTGCTCTTAGGCAAGCCACTATGATTTCATTCATAACTTGAGAATAATGTTGACTACATTTTAGGATTATTGAGATGATATTACGTGAAGTGTTATTAACACCTCATATCAGTTATTATTAGTATCAAACATTTGGTGATGTACTTCCTAATGCATTTTCTCTTCACAGCAATCTGAAATCTGTCTGTTCAAGGCAAGCTACATCCAACATTCAATATCTTTTTGCACCAACATTTCCCCACATCTACATGGATACATTTTCCCTCAAGAATCAGATAAATGTGTAAGATTTTTAAGAGCGTTTTTAATGTAAGTTCATAAAAAATAATTGTAAACCTTAAAATTTCACTGGTAATTTGTATGATAGTCAAGTAACACCTTTCTCATGCAATAAACATACCATTTCCAAAAGAAGTTGTTCCTCTCTTTCTTTCTGCTGATCCAATAGGTCATTTTCATAAAACCTCTTCTGAAACTGTTCAAATGTGAAACCAGAGGATCAGCAATCATGCTGGAGGTTTCAGCATATTATTACTGCTATAATTTTAGTTTATACTTACGGCATCTAAAGAGGTATCCATTCTGTCAAGTTCTAGTACCATCTGTTAAAAAAAATAGTATTATTATAGGTCTGCCATAACTGTTTTAAAAGAATCTCAAATGGCTTGGATTTCCTACTAGCAATTTTAGAAAGGACATGGGCTCATCCAGAGGATAAGATATTAGGCTAACTTGGGAACTGGGATGCCTACCTATTAGAAGCCTGTAACATTCTTTCAGTAGAAGTTTACTGAACATAATATAAGAGTCTTCTAATTATAAATGCACAAGTTTGAACTATATATGATCCAAAGGAGCCATCTCAGCTATAGCACAAGTTCATTATATCTATACACTTCTATACATTTACAGTAAGATCATTATATTTGATTTATCTCAGCATGAACAGAATTCAAAAATCTTAAGAATTATTATAAAAATATAAGAAAAATACTGAATGAACAAAAGAACCTCACATACTTTTTTAACAATGTTCAAGACGTCTTTATCTTTTTCCTCACATAGAAGTTTTCTTACACTCATTTCTAGCTGCTGCAGTAAATGTTTGTCTGTGGGAACCTTGAGAGTTGACTTCACTTTTGGTAATAAATAACAAAGCTTCATTCTATAAGGGAAATAATGTTTATATATTTTTTGTAATTGAAGATATATACTAGGTTAAAAAAAACCTAGAACCATGCAAACTGTGAAGTGATAAATAATATTGAAGTAAATAAAGGCTCTAAAGCCTTAAAAGAAGAGTTAAAGCCCAGTAAAAAATGGTAGTTGCTAAAATAGACAGGATTGATAACTAGGAATTATCTTATTATCTGAAAGAGATCATTTGTTCATGTTGGCTTCATATTATCTATGGAATTGTCCAGATTCTGTTATGTATAGAAATTCTTCATACTGTTGTCTGTTTCCTTCATGGACCTTTAGGGAAGGTTATGCAAATCAGATTTTCATTTTTCTACCATTTATTGTACAATATTTATATGTCTAAACATTTTAGAGATTTTTTTAAAAAAATACTTTTATTTTATATTTTTTTATTCCACCTTTACTATTTTTATAAATAAGGGGGCAAACATATCTACCCCTTCCTTCTCCTATTTTCCTCAAAACAACTCTGTGACATGAATTGGGCTGAGAGTATGATTGCCTCAAAGTCGCCCAGCTGGATGGACCAAATGAACTAGGGATGGGCAGATTCCTTTAGGATGAAGACATTTTCCTATTATAGAAGACAAATGTACTCTTACGTCAAGTATGATTTTAACTGCCAAACAGAATAATCTTTTTCCCCAGTTATCAATCATTTTCAACACATGCTCCAAATATTTGAGTTTCTGCTTGCAGACCTCTGCCTCAATGGAACAACCTATTTTATCAGGATTGATTAACTTTTCTTACTGCTCATGATACTCTCCAAACCTGTAATTCAAATCTGTTCATATTTTTTAATTTGCTCTTCATCAATGTCCAGCTTTCATAGACAAATATTACCATTAGAAAAAACACTGCTTTAACCATTTTGATTTTTGTTATCACAGAAATATCTTCACCCTGAATTTGTCTCCATCACCACCTTCCTGTAGTTCTCCAGCACACACTTTATCATTATCTCTTCTTGAGCTCAAGAAAACAATTCTATCTACCATCTTTGCTTCTTTACTACCAGTCATGAATTCACTAACTATGGCATTTAACACTGCTTTGACTTCTTCATGCTTTGTGCTCTCACCACCCTACAAAGCTTGCTGGACCTAATTTCTTGACCACTGAATTATTGATCAGTTTCTACAGCCTTCAGTTTCCTCTTTGATTTTCATAATGAGTTCTTCTAAATCTGTTTTATTTTAATATAACAAAGTGGTATCATTTGCATATTTAGTTCAGCCTTCTGTTTCCATAGCAGACTTCCTAGGATACTAACTATATGTGTCTCTAAATGAAGCTTTTTCCTCTTTCAAATCACAGGCATTCTTGTCAACTGAAGAAATTTAAGATTTGTACTCAAAAACCTAAGGCTACTGTGCAATAACAAGTTTTGCTCTTGTCCCAATACTTTTGTTAATTACAATGTTTTTATTTTATTCCAGAGAATTTCATGGAAACTGTTACAAAAGATTTCTAGTTGTATAATTGCTCTGCCACAAACCCAACATTTTATGGGTAATTTAGATATCATTGTCTTTATCTTTCAATTCTCATATTTTCTCATAGCTTCCTCTGTTTTCTTAACATTAAAAAAATTAATGAAGGAAAGTTTGGATAGCTTTATAATGCTTTCCAATTAACATTACTAAAAATAAATCCATTCATCTCTCTATAAACTTCTTCTTTAGTCCTGTTCCAGCTCAGTTTCTTCTTCATGCTGACAAAGGCACCAAATTTGGAAATTAAATATATATTAAAATATTAATATATATATATAAGAATAAGATACAAATCTTCAGAGTTTTAATATATGAATTCTATTCCAGAAATGAGGGCAATCTGCATTAAATGGCAATACAAAGCAATCTGAATAAATCCAAGTTTTATTAATTTAGTATAACTTGTACAGTACCTCACATTTGCTACTGGATCATGTGTAAGTTCAAGCACAGGAAGAAAGAAGTATTCACAGAAAAATGATTTGGAAAAGAGTTCTATGATGAATTCACAGGTATCTAAAAAACGTAATCTGTTCCAATAGCTTTTTCCTTGGCCCAGTTCTGGAGAAAAAAAAATTACCACTGATAGGTTATTATTTTGATAAAGAAATGAACAGAAATCCAGTACTTAACTATCCCCAAAATGCTTGTTAATATTCTCAAATATAATGTAATAGTGTTTTACCAGCTCATTAGAGTAATTATAAAATATGCTTTAGATAACTTTTATAATGCTCTAAATTGTACAGCTAAGAAGCAGAAAAGTCCACCAGAAGTCATACAGGATGGCTATCTCTTGGTAGGGCACTACTACGGAAGCAGCTCCCCACATTAGCATTCCAATTGCTTTCTGCCTATGCTCTCTACCCTACAGAACAGCTGTTAAACATTTGTATTTAAATGTGACATTTTTATTGGCGTACTGGAAATGGTGCTGCATCATATAAACTTTTTAAAGATTATTGTGAAGCACCTGAATATGAGTTGTCATGGTAAACTTGCATACAAATATTTGAAGCTAATGCAGCTGAAATCTTTATCGTGGAAAACATCTATTCTATGGTAAAAATGGGGGCCTTCCTCTCTCATCCACAACAGCCTTCCCCTCTTATACACAGTAGCCTTGGTTTTCACTAATATTCCACTAACTTCCTCATGATAAAGAGGACCTCAAGACTTACGTTCGATCAATTTCTGGATGACCTCATATCTCTGTTCTTGCTTACGATTATATCGTAAGTATATACACAGTGTTCGAGCAGCTGCTCTTTGGACAGGTAGGACATTCTTCAAGAGAGGAAAAATATATTTCATTCTACAATATATATAAGTAATAAAACATTCAATTTGTTCATTTATGAGGAAATAATTATTGAAGGTAAAAAGACAAAATAATAAAGCATCAATAAAATGTTGCAGAAGTGAGGTCGAGATAAATTCAGTTTAAGGCTGGTCATCTTCAAAATTTGAAGTATGAACTTGTATTTTTTCAAAAGTGGTATGAAGCCAGACTATTAATTAACAAATCATTTGACAGCTAGTCTAGTTTTTATTGAATATATTATCTTTTGGTGCTTGCTTTGTATCTTTCACCAGCAAACACATTCTAAGATCACTTAATTTTTCCTGAAATTATTTCAGGAAAATAATCCCATGAGAGGGAAAAACAAGTATGTTTTTATTCTGCTAATGAACATCTAAAACAGGTTATGGGGTAGTGATGGGGGGAACACATTATACATATGCAAAAGTCAGTATATTTTATTTGTTATTGCAATGACATTATTTGTAGATAAGCAAATGTACTGTATGTGAGTTTGTGAATCTGGAATATGCAGCATGCAGTAAAAGGAGATGTACATATTCTTCTTTTTAAATCGGTATATTTAGATGCAAATTTGAAATGGTTTTTTTTTTTTGCCACCCTAGACAATTATTAGAGTTTAGATAATATTCTATATACATGGAACAACTGACATTTTTATATTTAATTTTGTAAAATCAATTGGATTTTTCAGTAGTTAAAAATAAACATATTCAAGCTCAATAAGAAGCATCTATTAAGTTTCAGGGCAGAAATTCACTTGCTTTCTTATAATTTATTTAACTGGGTTTATACACTATGGCAAGCAGAATTGTCTGTAAGTGCATATTTCCCCTTCATAATTTGGGATAAAAATGAAGCTAAAATACAGATCATACTAAATATAATCAATAAAATTGCATATATATAATCATGGGAATAAAATGCAATTGATTAGAAATTAGAAGGAGGAGCCCTGGTGGCGCAGCAGACTAAAGCACTGTTATTAACACCAGCTGCCTGCAATTACTGCAAGTTCAAATCTCACCAGGATCAAGGTTGACTCAGCCTTCCATCCTTTCTAAGGTAGGTAAAATGAGGACCCGGATTGTGGGGGCAATAAGCTGACTTTGTATAAATATACAAAAGTATGAAGGCTATTGCTTAACCCATTGTAAGCCACCCTGAGTCTCCGGAGAAGGGCGGCATATAAATCAAATTTTTTAAAAAAATTCCACTGCTAGAGTGACAAACAAACCTTTCAGACCCCGGGACCTACTTGAACAGCTGCCTTAATAAACCATCTGAATATTAAAAAGGAAGAGACCATAAAGAAGAAATGCCAAATGACAAGGGGGAGCAATAAAGCAAGTGTGCTTCTGCAAAACCCACAACTGACAGTCCCTGAGACAGGGAACATGAAGAAACCCTACTCTACTTAATCTTAACCAAGTGGGCAGATTTATTAGAAGAAGGTGGTCCCATAGATATCCAGGTCCTGAACTATAAAGGCCTTTAAAGGTGACAGTGAGCATCTTGAATTGCAATCAGAAGCCAACCGATACAGAAGTCACATAAATATTTTTTCAACTGAAGTATTGTTTTTTTCTATGATTTTTCAGGTTTCTAAACTTGGAAATGGGGATACCTATTGTCCAGAAAAAACAGGACAACCTCCTAAAATTCTTTTTTGTCTCAAGTAAAGAAATCCAATTCTACATACAAATATGGTTAGAATGTATAAGGGTTCATATTGTTTTTCATATTTAAGTTTCAGTTTTGGAATTTGCAATCCTGACTTATTTGGAAGCATCAGATGGAAAACATGCAAAGCAAAACAGGCTACAGGTATTCAATTTAAACAACACTGGCTTTTCATTAAAAATAAAATTAAACTAAAGAGTTCTTGTTTGTGTGATGCTAATGTATTCGTCACAACTTAGATTTATTTCAGTAGCAATGTATATATTTTAATCTCTTGGAAAATGTTTTAAACCAATGTCATATATTTTAGAAAGAAATAGAGAGAGAAGGATCATTGAGAACTCACATTTGTCATAATGATTGTCAGCATTCTGTGCAAAAAGCGGTAATAAATCTGATCACTTGAGATGACATGAGGCAAGCAGGCATACTTTTGTAGTAGCTTCTCATGTGTCCTCCATTTTAAAGAGGTTGCTGCCCTCTGTTCAGCTCTTGTTAGTGCTGGAATTAACTCTGGAAAATTTAAAAGCTGAAAAGGGAAAAACATTTTTAGGTATAGTTAGCCTAAGATATATCACACATATTAAATCAGAATCACCAAAATACAACATGGTTGTAATACAAGTTCTCAACTACTCCAATATCCACATCACTGAATTTTGTATCAAAGTTTTCAAATTATCTTTGAAACTTACATCTTTATCTTTATCTTTATTCAAATTTCTATACCGCCCTTCTCCTTTCGGACTCAGGGCGGTGAACAGCCAAAAAATAAAACATTTTATATGCAAAAGTTAAAATAAATTTAAAATAATTAAATAAATTTGGCCCATTAATTTAAAACATTCCAATTAAAGGCCATATCAAAATTATTAAAACCAATCATAAAATCAGGACAGCCCGGCTAACTGAAAAAAATAGGTTTTGAGAGCCCAACGAAAAGTCTGGAGGTCTGGGATCACTCGTATCTCTGGGGGTAGATTGTTCCAGAGGGTGGGTGCTACCACAGAGAAGGCTCTCCCCCTGGGGGTCGCCAGCCGACATTGCCTGGCCGACGGCACCCTGAGGAGGCCCTCTCTGTGGGAGCGAACTGGCCGGTGGGAAGCAATTGGTGGCAGGAGGCGGTCCCGTAGATACCCCGGCCCTAAGCCATGGAGCGCTTTAAAGGTGATCACCAACACCTTGAAACGCACCCGGAAGTCCACCGGGAGCCAATGTAGCTCGCGCAGGAGAGGAGTCACATGGGAGCGCCCCATCACTCCCATAATCCCCCGCGCGGCCGCATTCTGCACCAGTTGGAGCCTCCGGGTGCACCCCAAGGGGAGCCCCATGTAGAGAGCGTTACAATAGTCCAGACGAGAGGTGACGAGTGCCTAAGTGACCGTGCGTAGGGAGTCCCGATCCAGAAAGGGGCACAACTGGCGTATCAGGCGGACCTGATAGAAGGCCCCCCATCTGATTTAACTAATATGTGAGTTACTAATCCTAAACTGTAAACTGGGGTTTCCAGTCGCTATTACTATCTGTAACATGCAGGAGAATGCCAGAGCCTCAAAACCTCAGGAACTAGTCCATTCAGATTTTGCTGTATAGCTTTTTTTAGTTCATCATTCATTTATTTATAATTATCAAGGGAGTACCAATAAAAAAACTACTAGCATTTGGGATTACTTCTTCTGACACTTGTTTATTTCTATCCCTTCCCACGTTAATTGCTCTAAATTATATTTTGTTTTCTCTAATCCCCCAAGGATATTACCTGTCCTGGGAGACATACAGACTATCAAAGCTTTCCCCACAACATTGAAAATAGGGTACTCACTGTTTACTCTCCCTCTACATTAACCTAATCACAGCCTCACAAATGAAAGCAGAATAGTAACAACTTTCAGGTGCTTTCAAGGTAAGAAAAATGATAGTGCTTAAATAAAACTAAGATTATAAAATAGGATTAGATAAAAGCCCACCCCTACCTTGAGCATGTCTTCCATGCTTCCTCACCATTTTGGTTAATTTTAATTCTAATTTGATGTCTATAAACATTTGTTTTGATATTTTATATTGGTATTTTTCCTGATTGATTGTAAATCATCTAAAGTCGCCTTGGCAAGATGGGTGACATATAATTTTAATAAATAAATAGTGGACATTCTTGTTGTTTAAAATATGATTCTGCTGGCAGACTCATCTACTTTACCTTGTTCTCTGATCCACTGTTTTCTCCTCCAGTAGACAGAAGTTCAAGAATTTCAGGAAGGTGATTTATTAATGCATCTATCACCTAATTAAAAGACAATATATTACTTACATTTCCAAAACTTATCTACCTAGCTAGCTGTTTTGAGTGCAGAACTGCAGACAGAGGAAAGTATCCTGATCTAACAGCCTGCATAAGGCAATGTTAATGTCGTATGAAGAAGCAGGGTGCAGATAGCAAAGAGTATGAATTTGATGGAGAAAGAGTAGATCAGTTAACAAAGCAATAAAAAGGAAACTATTGCTTTAGTCCAAATGATAGAAGAGGACCATGAAAACAACTCAGACAGACACTCTCCTAGATTACATGAATATAAAAAAGGGAGGAGGGGAAACACAAACATGGTACTATAGCCAATTGAAACAAAATTATTTCTTAGTCTTCCATGGAGCCTATTTCTTGGCCTGGTCTGCTTCCATAACAGGGCTGACAAAGGGTATTTGGAACCATCCATTGCTGCAGAAATACCCATTCTTATCTGTAAAATACCAGGAAGCGATGGAGATGGTTCATGTACTATCATATGAATTTAGGTGTCAGTTCACCTCTAAAATGCCTCGCAGCAGTGGCATACAGTTTCAACTATTGGATCAGCTTACCAATCACCACTAGTCAAGAGTCCTTATTTATCATATATTCCCACTTAAAACTGGGGGAGAATCTTCCATGAAACCTAGTTGCATAAACACACAGAGTGACTTATCTATTCAGCGCTTCATCTAATCCTTTTCTGATTTAAGCCACACTTCTGCAATATTCATCAGAGAAGATAAGTTTAAGAGGAAATACTATAGTACTCTTAATATAGTTGTTCTGCTTTCCAGCATTTAAAAAATATTAGAGATTACTTCCCTTTTGTTTTCCTAGTCAGAATATTCCCAGTCCATTTCCTAGTCTGAATACCTTATGCCTTCCTTGCATAACTTTGTCTTCTATTCTCTCACCCCATACATTCTCATTTAACAATATGATTTCTGCAGCAAAACTGAACCTATCAGACTAAAGGGAATCTTACTTAGCACTAATCAGACTAATTGAACCTAAGACATAGCAAACTGGAATGAGATCAAAATGTTACATATGCCTTTGAAGAGTGATTTCTTTTGCAAATTCAACTTTAGACATTAGTTACCCCTTATCACTTTCAGATGACTTTACAGTGACATCATTCTCTGTCCTTTATGTCTAGGATCATGAGACAAACAGCTATGATTCATCCTACGTTTTGAGACATCAAGAATTTCTTCCTTTAATAAATATAACTTGGAATAATTGTGAATTATCAAATATAAACAACAAATAGGTCATTACCTCTACTGATTCATCCTGCAACAGGGCTATCATTTCTTTATGTATTATATACACATCAGTATTTAAAAGCTTGGCAACCTGGAAAATTACAAGACAATATACAGATATTAGTCCTTTTAACCTATGTTTTATGTTTTAAAACAAAGTTTGAATAGTACCTTAAACAGGAAACTAAGGCATAGACAAAACCTAAAATGCCAATACCCATACTTTAAGGCTATTGAGGTCATGTCCTTTCCTTACTATTTGCAATGTAATATTATGTTGATATAAACATAGAAAAAGGAACATACTAGCAACTGTGTGCTATGACAATAAACTCTTAGAAATAGTTTGCTAGTTTATATAATCCAAACATATTTTGAAAAAGAAATTTTGCATACATTTTGCCATGTACTTCCTACTAATGTAAAACACAGTTAATCAGATTATAAATCCCAGGTGTATTAAGTATTATTCTGTCTTCTGATATTGACAAAATAGAGAAAAAATGAACATTATCCATGTTTTCTAGGAGTCCAAAAGTTCATTAAGAGAAAGAACAGTCTTATCCGTCTTGAAGGTAGTAGTCTGCGGAAAAATTATTAAAGAAGGCATTTTGTATTATGCTATTGTATAATAACAAACCTTTCTTCACTGGGTAAAGTGTTTAAGTAAGCAACAAGACTGACATACTTACACCCATTTCAGATCAATTACTGCACTAACTTATCAAAATGCTTGACAGGAGAATTGTATAAATGAAATTCTGCTAACTCGCCTAGACATTTTAACAGTTTTCAACATTAATGTCCATATCATCATGTTGGATTGATCTATATGGTTTTATTTATTTTTAGTAGATACTTTTCAGTAGTAAAACCGAGGTTCTGCAACATTTTGAGTCCAATATGACCTCCTATACAATTTAAAACTTAAGTGAACTGTGGGGATATATCTGGAGTATGTTGTCATCAATAGGCTAATTCTTTCTCAGAGGGTGAAAGGTAGTAAAAATTCTGGACAGGTTTCTGAAGTCAGCAAACTGCAGTTCTGCAATTTTATTGACAGGGGAAGTGTGATTAAATCTTCCCAAGGGGCTATTTTCTTCACAGGTACTGTATAAGCAGGGCCGGATTTTCCTATAGGCTAACTAGGCTTCAGCCTAGGGCCTCAAGATCAAGAGGGGGCCTCAAGATCAAGAGGGGCCTACATTCAAATTGTTAGCAAAATTAAAATTACACTTTCACTATAGGTGAAAGGGCCTCATAAGTGGAATAGCCTAGGGCCTCTTTTCATCTAAATCCGGCCCTGTGTATAAGTAAGCCAATAGACAATTGATATACATTGAGAGGATAGTGGGTGGAGTGCTAAGGATTCTCCTAAAGATATATTTTCAATTACCATAATACAATGAAAAAAAAACCTAATTTTTATACACAGGTAAATGGGCTAGTAAAGCCCTTTCAGAAAATTCAGTTAAAATGGTCTGATATCAATAAAATATGGAGACTCTATTTTATCATTAGGTGAAATTAACAGAACTTATTATATGGCTGTAGGTATGCTTATTCAGAGTTATAAACCTTTAACAAATTAATCAAGGGGCTAAAGTATTATTACAGAATACGGGCTTGAAAGCACTGGAATAAAGTATATATTACAAACAATAAGAGATTAAAAAAGAGAAAATTTTGTAATTCGTATTCTTCTACATTCTTCTACCTCTACATTGGATCACTGCAATGCACTCTACCTGGGACTGCCCCTGAAGATTATCTGGAAACTGCAGTTGGTTCAGAAAGTCAGTTTAGCAGTATGATACATATTATGGATGCTGCATTGACTTTGAAAAATGTTATTCAAGGTGCTGATAGTTACTTTTTTATTTACATACCACTGAGGGCAGTTTATATTAATTAAAAATATTAAAAACAGACAATTAAAACACCAGCATAATCCAAAAAGAAGAATCCAAATAACAAACAATGATCATAATACAGGTCTGACAATGCTAGGGCATCATTGGACAACTTCAGCTTCCAAATGTTCCATGAAATAACTCTTGTATTAATGGCTTTTTGAAAAGAAATCAGAGTTGCAGTAAGGGATTGTTATAGAAAGTGGAACCATTGCCATTCTCAATCTCACCTTTTGTAAGTGAGTTTCCTTCAACATTTCAACAGGAATGAGCAAACTAAATACAGAACAGAACTCAAATATTGGAACACTGCTATCAGTTGGTTCTAAACAGAGGAAAAGGTTCTGCAAGTGGCTAGAAGCTATTTCTTTAAAAATCAAAACCAAACATCTTGTACAATGTATTTTGCAATTTACTGGAAACCAATGCAGCACCTACAATATACAGTCACATGGCTGCAATGGCTCTCATCCATCACTATGTGCTGTTGCATTCTATATTGATTGTTGTTTTTAGATAGCAATCAGGGCATTCCTGGAAGAGAGGCAATTAGGCAAGCATCTCCTGGGAGAGAGTTCCATAACTGAGATACTGCTACTGTATTACTGCAGCTATTGAAATGTTTTAAATAAATAAATAAAATAAGATGGCCTACTCTCAACAATCACAACATGAAGCAACTCTATCAAAAGGACCCTAGGTAAGGCATTGAAACTGATCTTAGGCTGCATACTCAATAGCAATAGCACTTAAGACTTATATACCACTTTACAGCCCTCTCTAAGTGGTTTACAGAGTCAGCATATTGCCCCTAACAATTTGGCTCCTCATTTTACCCACCTCGGAAGGATGGAAGGATGAGTCAACCTTGAGCCTGGTGAGATTCGAACTGCCAAATTGCAGGCAGCCAGCAGAAGTAGCCTGCAGTACTGCACTCTAACCACTGCCCCACTGTGGCTCATGGTTCTAAGGGGAGGCAATCTTTTAAGAAGTACTTTTAATAGGTTAAAATGTGATGTTTTAGATAATTATAAACATGTCAAAATAAGATTTAATATTTAAAATATTTATTAACATTAAGTCAAACAGTGTTTCCATAACATACATTTCCTGACTTACTTCATAGAAGCTACCAGCCATAGTATGTCTAACTGGTACTTCAGGATCATGACAGAAACAGAAGAATGTAGAATACAGTTCCAAATTGAAATTTTTGGGATCCACAAAAATCATCATGGCCTAGAAATATAAAGGATGTAATAGATAATAAAGGTTAGCACACATATGTCTACTCTCCTCCTCTTTCCTATATCCTCTCAAAAAATAACTGGCAGAAATAGAAATTATAATTTGTCCATTTAGCTGGAGTAAGAGACAATGGCCATCGAATCAGGCAACCCTTCCTCCTCCTTTTAATCTATCCTTTGTTAAAGTACGTTCAGCCCCATTAACCTTACTGATCTCTGATTTAGGAGAAAATGTGTTTCAGAGCAAATAATCTCTCTTTAAAATCAGAAAGAGTTTCACAAGTCTATCTTTCACGCAAATTACGGATATATAAACAAAAGAGCGTTTCACTCACAGGTAAATTGTAAGCACAGTTCTTCCTCACTGATATGTATTTCTTTTCCTGTTCTAGGGTTTGCAGCTGAATCTGGTTGTCATTGTGCCCATTTTCCTGTTCTAATCCCAGTGTACAAAGCTTCTTATAGAACTCCAAAAATCGCAAATGCTGCTCTGGTGTAAAAATTCCTTTAAACAAATAAAATGCTTGTTCAATATTATATTTTCATGAATTGACAGCCTATCAAATCATTGTGCTTATAGTAGCAGACATAATAAATTCAACACTTTAAATCTCTGCCATGCCAGGCAGTTCACTGACAATACTGGCAAATCTCATCTCCTCTTTCCCTAGTTGTCTCACACAACTGTAAACTTTACAGACTCGAAATATAACATCTGAAAACACTTTCTATGTTAATATGAAGAAACACAGATTTGATTAAACTAAATATTTTATTTTCTATTACTTTGAAATATAGCATTTGCCGATCAAAGAACCATAACAAAATAATCCCCATGAACTTCTAATATGCTGAGACTTTCCTCTCTGCACTGATCAAATCCACAATTTGTAGTACTAACAGCAACCTAATACTTCTCCAAAATATCAAGATAAGAGTGGCTGTATTTTATGTGATTTCACCTGCATATTTCCAAACATACGAGGCTTACATTCTAAAAGTATATATGAACTCCTGCTTTAGGGCTTTTCTATAATATACTAGAAGTATGTAATCACCAATGTATTATTGATCTCTGAGGGGAAAAGCCCTGACAGAACACATTCTAATTTGCTTTTAGATAAAACCTTAAAGCTAACTATTTCCCCATTTCATGAATTGTTACCTTGCATTGCTGAAGAGGTTTGCACATGCCAATGATACAATTTACTGTACATTGTTGGGAGTTACATGGAGTCCAAGCTTGTTTGTTTGCTTGCAGATATTTCATTACCAGATTAGGTGTATCTTCAGAAAATGTTATCGGGTTTGATAATGAAACATCTGCAAGCAAACAAGCAACTTCAGAGAACACCAAGGATTCTACAGTTCAACCCTGAGCTATGTATATTCTCTTCTGTGGGAGTTACACATTTCCAAAATATTAACCCATGATGGGCACGGTCATACATGAAGGGACAAATACACTGGCGAAGGAAATAGTAACCCCCTTCAGTGTTTACCAAGAAATCTGATTAAGCATATCATCTGAACATTAGTTCTACAGGTTGCAAAGTATATAGCAAGCTATTGGGGGAAAAGCAGACACCAAATATTTGAGTTGTACTGGTCTTTGTGATGTGGCTGAATTAAAGATGAAAGGACAGTCAGCTGCTGATATCATTATCAAAAGGATAAATTGATGCTGCAAAAAATGTATAGTGAAATGTTGGACTCATGATCCAAGGCAAACTTGATGAAGTCTATCATAAGAATGAATACTGAAATAGACAATTTCACATGAGAGGACATCAAAGCTTCTATTATGAACAAGAATACCATAGAAGAAAAGTCAACCTTATTAACAAAAAGGAGCCAGAGTCAATACTTGGATACCCATGATAGAATTGTCTCTATTTGAATTCAGGGCAAGCCAATATTATCATGATCCAAGTCCAAACTCCAACCTTACTTTTAGAAGGAGCAGAAAAGTTCAAAAGTAACTTGTAACACTGTGTCAACGCAACACAAAAAAATCACATCTTACTAATGAAGCAAAAGACAGGCTAAGAGAATATTACAAATATTCAGGGTTTCTTCCAATAATTTAAAAGACAACCTAACACATGGTCATTATCAGAGAGACTACGCCAACATGAAACTGTCTATGTATTTTGCAAGCAAGTATGGACAAACTGTTCTGTTAGTCAAAACTATACATGGCTCTGACTGACAGATATGTTGTAAGTTACTATTTTCAATGCTATTGTAACTTTGAAGAGTTAAACAAATGGTAGTTAAGTTGAGGACTATCTGTAGGTTGTCAGTAAGCTTCTGGACCCAATTCAAAGTGTTTGTAAATAACTATGGTGCAGCACCAGGTTTTCTTACATCCACTGAACAGTTCTACCTGTTGAGAACAAGTTTCTTTTCCTTTCAGCTCATTCCCCCTCCATGTAAAATTTGCAGGATGTGAATTAAACGCCTTAGAAATCCATTTTGGTTTGGGTACTGGCAATAGAATTTTTTTTCAAAAGTATCTAGGAAATAACTGTTCGTTTGACACTATTTTATTTGGTATTCAATTATTTGGATGACTTTTAAGTGAATGTTGATAAATCGTATATTTTCTAAATTATACTAAGTATTTATACTATATACTATATACTATATATCAGGGGTGAAATGTAAAATTTGTTACTACCGGTTCTGTGAGTGTGGCTTGGTTGGGGTGGGGGTAATGTGACTGGGTAGGCATGGCCAACTATTTTTTTTTTTAACTTTTCAAAGCATTTTTTCTAATGCTTTGAAAAGCCTCTGCCGATCAGGAAACTCAACTTGGATCGTCAGAGAGGCATTTTTAAAAATATCTCTCTGCCGATCAGGAAACTCAGCTGGAATCGTCAAAGACTTTTCAAAGCATTTTTTTTACCAATGACTCTTCGGCCAAGAGGTTGCAGAAAAAAATGCTTTGAAAAGCCTCTGACTATCTCAGCTGAGCCGCATGATCATCAGAGGCTTTTTTTTTTTTACTTTTAAAAGCATTTTTTTGTCAGAAGAGGTTGTAGAAAAAATGCTTTTAAAAGAAAAAAAAAGCCTCTGATGATCCTGCGGCTCAGCTGGGCATGGGGGGGGCCGCAGGGATTTTTGCTACCGGTTCTCCGAACCACCCGCCGCCATCGCTATCGGATCGGGCAATCTGGTCCAAACCGGGAGCATTTCACCCCTGCTATATACTATATACTATATACTATATACTATATACCCGTGATGGCAAACCTATGGCACACGTGCCACAGGTGGCACGCATAGCCATATCAGTGGGCACGCCAGCTCAGCTGTGGCACGCATGCACATGCTGGCCAACTGATTTTAGGGCCTTCTGGGCCCACCAGAAGTAGGGAAACAGGCTGTTTCCTGCCTCCGGAGGGCCTGGGGGGGTGGGGAAGGCCCGTTTTTCTTTCTCACCTGGGTCCAGATCGTCTCTAAGCATCTGGGGAGGGTGAAAACAGCCTCCCCCCCTCCCTTGGAGGCCCTCCAGAGGCCTGAAACGGCCCATTTCCCAACTCCCAGTTGGACAGGAAGTGACGTTTTTTGCTGTCCCCAGCCTCCAGAGACTCCTAGAGAGCAGGTAGGAGGGGAGGGTTGCACGCGCATGCAACAGTGTTGGCAAACCTTTTCGGCACTGAGTGAACTTCTAGTTTCCAGTGTGTGCATGCGCACCAGCCACCTGGTCTTCCAGTTTCTGACTAGCTGACCAGCGTGCATGCGTGCACCGGAAACAGGAAGCTCAGCTTCCAGGCACACACGTGCGCGCCAGGGAGCTGCTCTTCCAGTTTCCAGCACTCCTGCACATGTGAAGACTAGCTGGCATGTGCGTGCTGGAACCCAGAAGAGCAAGGGGCGATGGCTGGCATGCCCGGAGAGATGACTCTGTGTGCCACTTCTAGCACGCGTGCCATAGGTTCGCCATCACTGCCCTATAACATTTCAGACAAATGGGTATCCAATCTTTTCTTAAAAACTTCCAGTGTTGGAGCATTTACAACTTCTGGAGGCAAGGTGTTCCACTGATTAATTGTTCTAACTGTCAGGAATCTCCTTAGTTCTAGGTTGCTTCTCTCCTTTATTTAAGTAAATGTTGATTAAAAATTCATACCAATACTATCATATCAAACATTATCTGGGGGAAAAGTGGCAGATTTTGTCATTTAATTATATATTTCCTTATTATATTTAATTGAATATTAAGTGTTCTTTATTCCAGAAGTAAGCACAATCAGGATTGCAGTGTTAAATGTTTCCAACCAAATATAAACAAATGCAGCACCCTTAAAATTGTATTGAGAACTTTTTAGTCATACCATATAGTCCATTACAAAGCTTCCCTAAATGAAAAGATAATGAAACCAGAATAGATTCATCTGCTTTAAAGGATTTTTCACAGAATGATTTCACTAATGGGAGAACAGTTTGACTTCTATCATCTGAAAAACAGAAAAGATATGATTAGAAAGGGATGAATAATCAACATATGATTATTAGCATATTAGAAACAGATCATAACAGGTAGAAAAATAGCTGCAGAGCTAATGAATCTTACCTGCATCAAACATTTCTAACAGATTTACCAATGTTTCAAAAGCTGCAAGACGTACACTGCTGCCTTCATCCCTTGCCAATTCTACTAGTTCTGGAAGCACTACATTTTTTGTTAGTTCCGTTCTACAAAAAAATACAAAAACAACCGTTTATGAGTTTACTCATAATTGTCAGCTACTATAGTATCCATACATTGGAAATAAGAGATGGCTTTCAATGTGCATATTTTCTTAATCTATTTGTACAGAAAAATATATTTAAACGAATTAGTTTATTAAAATCAATGGGACTAACTACTAAGTAGAGTGTTTATTACATTTAATTTCTCAGTCGTATACACAGTAAAATTTCACACACAAGAACAGTATAATTTACAGCAAAATTTATGTGTTAGAATTTGAATGCTGAAATGCTTTCAGTAGAGATTTGTTCTAATTTGTCATCAGTTGAGTCAAAGAATTGTTGGCATTCCAGTGGGAGCAGTAAACTGCTACACACAAGAGCACATGAAAAAGATGCTTCTCTATCTCTACCCTAACCCTTGAAATAACTCCATCCGTCCTTTTATGACAGAACCGTGTGTGTGTGTGTGTGTGTGTGTGTGTGTGTGTGTGTGTGTGTGTCTAGTCCGAAGCTCACTGAAAATCATGACTATTATGGCATCACCTGGAAAGTCAAGAGAATAAACAGGACGATAGAAAAATGAAATTCTAATTTTGAAAACTCAAAACACATCCAAATTTTTTACAAATATGTTGAAAAACATAGAAACTAGAACAGTGGGCTACAGTATGTCACTCAGTGCACTCAAGCACTAAACATAATGCAGAACCACTGATATACTGATTTGGGGTTATGACATTTTAACTAAATCTGGATTCACCTAATGGCAGCATAGTCATGCTTTATTAATTGACCAAGATCATTTTAGTGATAATCTGAATTTGGATTTTTTTTTCAGATATTCTAATCTTTATGTCACATTGGCTGTGAGAGAAATAGCCCAGGATTCAAAGATGAATTTATTAACAATTGCAATTTAAGAAAAGCATGCTTGGCAGCAATAAGAAAATTTTTGCCTAACATATCTAATATATCTTGGTTGTTCATAAAAGAAAATCACTTATAATTGGAGTAAGTAATTTGGAAACTTATATTGTATGAATTCAACTTAACATATTAAATCAATCCAATTTAGAAACTGTGTGATCTTTTAAAAATTAATACAAATATTAACTGGAATTATTTTCACTGATTTATCAATTATGAATTATCAAGCTTTGCTCACCCTATTCCTTGAGCAATTAGTTCTAGCTGCCGGCACATGTAGGAACGAACTTCATATTCTACATCCTGGCAAAGAGATTTTACCAGGGGAAGGATTTCTCTTTTAATGCTAAAAAGGAAACAGTTACTTAAATTGTAATAGAAAAAAATATTCTCATAATTTTGTCACATATATTTCAAAACTGTAATAAAAGAGTAAAAAACCCTGATAATTATAATTTATATAATTGTTACAATACTGTATGTAATAACTGTATTTATGTTTTTTCAATGACTGAACAACAACACTACAATACATATAAAAGATAATTTACACTTCTCAAATGTTAAGAACATATAGGCCACTATAACATCATAACAATATTTAATAGTGAAATACTAGAAGCACAAATGTTAGCAAATAAATAGAACTGTAAACTCTAACTACTTTATCAGTATTAAAGATATGTAAGTAGATACATAATTGGGAAATGTATCAAAAATTCTAAATTTCTGAACAGGCAACGTAAATGATACAGCATGAATTTCATCTCTGTTCAGACCAGGCTGATCTGAAAAAATCTTCTAGAAAATCAAGATATTATTAGAGTTGAACCAAATGCTTTAAAACTCACAATTTACTTTGGAAACAACAGAAGGTTCTTGAGAAGACAAAATTTATTTTGAAAATCTGTTTCTTTATGGGTCATTTTGTTCTCTCTCATTTGCTCATTTTGTTCCCTCATTTGTTCATGGGAGTCTTTTGATTGGCATCAGGATGAAGGCAAGCATTCTTTGGACTTTGCTTTCATAGAATCATCACAGAACAAAATCTGACTGACTACTTGGCATCATCCTGAAGTCAAATCATATTTTGATCAATGCTTTCTTCTTTCCCTTGGGCACAAAGGAAAAAAAGGGACAAGTCAAGAAAGCTACCCATATCAGTGGTGGGCTGCCCCCGGTTCGGACTGGTTCTATAGAACCAGTAGTAAAACCGATGGGAGGCTCCGCCCACTGACCCTGATGTCATCAGAAGCGATCTGCGCATGCGCAGAAGGTGCGTGTGCGAGTGAAGCGAGCGCGCGCGCAATCCTATTGCGAACCAGTAGTAAAGGTAAGAAAAAACCACCCCTGACCCATATATGTTATGCAGGCTATCATTGTTAAAATATGGTGGGTGCCTTTACTTCCTGACCAGAAAATTCTCAAGAGGGGGGCGGGGTTGTCTCTATAGCAAGATAAAAAATAAAATGAATTCATATGTAGCTAAAAAGAAGATAATGGGTTCCACACCCACATAAAATATCCAACATGCTTTAAGCCTATCAACACGGCAATGCAAGGTCTGAAGAAAATTAAGCAAATCAAAATGAACCTACCTTGAACGTTCATAAATCTCAACTCTTATATAAACTCTATTCTGAGTTACACTATCATATTCTTTGAAACTAAAAGACAGGCAGACAAATCCAATACCTTTATAAGAGCAAACAAGGTGGTATTTCTGAACAAAAATGAGGTTGACTGTTTCTGAAATTGCTTTCATGCTGGATGGCATGCAATTATTGTATATCCTTCAATATGGCATACCAGTCATGACAACGAATTTAAAAACACTTCCAAACAAAATAACATAAAATCTAAAATGGCAACTAGTAGGGCAAATCATGGAAATAAGAATAAAATTTGCTGAAATGGCACTGTGCAGGACAAAGATGATAATTGTAAGTTGTAGGAAATATTTATCCTTTTATAGAGGATACAATTCAGGACCTACAATTGCTATGTAGACTCAATTATTCCCATTTAGATAAAAAAGATGATGCTCACCAGAGCTTTATGGATTGTGTCTTAGGATCATTGTGTAATATACAGTTTGTCAATATTCGAAAGTAGTATTCTTTTCTATTGCAACAAAATGAGGTCACCTTGTTTCCTTTGTAGACCATTTATTCATTAGGACATCTAAAACACACACAAGCTACTCACATATGAGCTTCAAACTTGTTAGCTAATTTCCCCAAGATTTTACAACTAACCAGGCGAGACTGAAGTGTTTGGGAAAGCTGTGCCTTGGAAACAAGAGGATTCAGGATCTATAGGACAGAAGAAGATATTCAGGTAACAAATGTAGAATTAGATAAATAAAAGTCAAGCAGCAAAAATATGCATTAAGAACTATTTCACAAACTAAAATCTTTATTAATATCAGCTTTCCAAATCATCCTTGCAGCAAGTTAACATACTTGAAATTATAGGCTACATTTGATAAAATTTATTTTAAAAATTCTGTATAAGAAATATAACCTGTGGCATAATGGCCAAGTTAGTAAAACAACTAAGATAAACTTGAAGTTTATACTCTCGGATCTAGAAAAATATAAATGTCTTTTAAATTTTGTACAATTTTAAACATAACTCTTGGTTTTTCCCATTCCATATAAATCTTAAACATTCACTAATCTTTGCTGTTAATATATGTTGTTGAGCCAAGTTTTTAATACTCCAGGTCAGTGATGGGTTGCTCCCGGTTCAGGTGAGCCGGTAGTGGTAATGATGTGACGTTAGCGAACCGGTTCTCTATGACTGTGAGCTGGGCCCTCCTGCCCGCCCCCGCGTTATACCTACCTTTATTTGTCATTTTTTAGGCCAACTGATAGGCGCAGCAGAGTGGATTGCTACGCCTCAGCTAGGCAGAAATGTAATGCACTTGCATGGAGCGCAAGTTCAGCGCACATGCGAGTGAAGTGAGCAAGCGCGCGGTGATCACACACAAAGCGCGTGCGCGAAAGGAACCAGTGGTAACACCAGTTGGAACCCACCACTGCTCCAGGTTTCATTTGGATTAATGTCTCTAGCAAACAAAAGTCCATTCTGACTTATCAAAGGCTTTTGTCCATGTCTAAAAATATTACAGCTGCCCTCTTTTTATTAATGTTGACAAATTTTAGTCTATTTATAACAAATGTTACGTTTTATTTTCCTTTTTGAAATAAAAATGTCTGATTTACATATACAGTTTTGCGCAGAAGAAAGGGGCGTGACCAGGCTGTAGAGGAAGTTTGAATGGCACCCAGTCAGTCCAGTGGCAGTGGATATTATCCCAATCGGTGGAATATCTGAGCAGCGAGGGAGGAAAATGGCCATATGCCTGAGATTTGTGTTATTATGTATTAACCGTATATACATCTTTTTATTCAATCTGCCTTTGGATTATGAATTTCCTGTCTGGCCGCTCTCAGAGGGTCAGATTAGGTAATCATATCTCTTCAGCCCTTATTTTTAACACTGGTACACCACAGGGCTGCATGTTGAGTCCCTTACTCTATACTCTTTATGTGCATGACTGCATTTCCACTCACGCTAGTAATACTATTACTAAATTGGCATATGATACAATAGTGGTGGGACTGATCTTCAGGGGGGATGAGTCTGCCTATTGAGATGAGGTGGAACAGTTGCTTTCATGGTGTGGGGACAATAACTTGGTCCTTAACACAAATAAGACCAAGGAGCTTATAGTCGACTATAGAAGGAATAGATCAGACATCCAGCCCTTGCTTATCGATGGAGACTGAGTGGAGCAAGTGGCCAGTTTTAAGTTTCTGGGTGTTATCATAAAAGAGGACCTGACCTGGGGCACTCACATTGCAGCACTGGTCAAAAGGGTCCAGCAGAGATTATACTATCTGAGACTTCTCAAGAAACAACAATTGAATGAAAAACTGCTGGTGGCCTTCTACCGCTGCACCATAAAGAGTATTTTAACTTACTGCATCTGTGTATGGTTTGCAAATTGCACAGTGGCAGATAGGACAGCACTCCAGAGGGTCAACATCATTGCCCAGAGGTTGCCCTCTCCCCTCTTTGGAAGAGCTTTATAGCTCCTGCTGCCTTAAAAAAGCTCAAAACATTCTTAAAGATCCATCTCATCCTGGGCACCCTTTTTTGGAACTATTACCATCTGGCAGATGGTACAGGATAATAAAAACAAAGACAAATAGGCTGAAAAACAGCTTCTATCCCAGGGCAATAACCATATTGAATTCTACGATATAGTGCAATATTGGGTTTTCAATTTCAATTATATAGAATGTAAAGAATTTATGTTTGTGTTTTTATTTTTATAGTTATAATATATACTGAAGATGGCATTTAATTTCGTTGTACCATGTGCAATGACAGTAAACTAAATTAAACTAATCTTTTACATTCATATTAATTTGCTTAAGATTTGTCTACATTCTTTAGTAAATTCTTTAAGATGAGTTTTCAAGAAATGTTTTTGAATGACTCCTGTAATTTTATGCCTGGAATATAATTCCACACAAAATATTGTTATTACCAATCTTATATATAATAATTTGTTTTTTTTTCTTCATAGCTGTATCAGCCTTCTTTCTTTCTTCTGATTTCATGTTAGAAGTTTCCTTGGTTTGTTTGCATTTTCAAAATGATTTTGTTTGCTTTTTTATCTTTTGAAATTTTATCACTTCCAATAAATCTAGTTGTTAATTTATTGAACTCTTTCAGTGCTTGTTGATTGAGACTAGTTTTATGAATCTATCCTGTCTTTTATTCTCTCTTCTAATTATCATTTCTATTATGTTCTTTTTTTATTTGCTGCAAGCCTTATTAAGATTCCTCTCATATACGTTTTACTTGTCTCCCATATAGTTGTCTCTTGTGATATATTTTACAAACAATAATTCTTATTTCTATAATTTTTAAGCAACACTATATGATTGGTATTTCTTTAAGTAACACCTATCATTCATCCTCCATCTGAAGATAATTTCTGAAACCAGGATATTACAATTAGAGCATGATCTGCATACATCCCTGAACCAATATTATTTCTTCCCACTAATATTGTGGGAAAACAATATTACCTCATGTCTAATAGTTTCTTTTGGAAGAGCTTCTATTGCAGCAAGAAGTGTGTCCAGCCAAGCATTACTGACACCTGTGAAGTACAAATAAACTAGATATAAGCACCACAAACCAGCTCTGTAAAATTCTTTTAGACAATGATTTCAATTAACATCATTATGACAACAGTAACCCTAAAATAAATATATAATGTATACGTTATAGAAGTTAATATGTTAAAATATAATTTAACAGATCAAATAGGAATTTGGCTGGAATTAAGTCCCACCAAATAAAAGCCTAGACTCTTACCTTGGAGTTTACTGACTGTATTGTTCAGTGATCATATGAAGTTTTGAGTGTTGAAAAAGTAACTTTAAGACCTATGTCCACATTAACAACCTTTGTAGTGTCTCTCAGTCATGTGATTACCATTACAGTCAATACATATTGTCTTTTGCCTGATCTGTTTTTATTTTTGTTTTCCCCTTGCAAAGATGAGAGATTGGAGAAGAAGGGATCACAAGTGAGTACGTAGGCACAAAGCGGGAATACATTGGATTGTTTGTATAGCACCCTCACGGTTTTAATATCCCTGAGCATTATTGGGATTGCCAGCACCACCTCATTCCTTTTGAGGTGTCTTCCCCATTGTGTGCCGGCTTAGTTTCTTGTAATTCCCTCCTCTTTTTTTTATAATTTTATTAAAAGGGGTTTCTTTTAATAAAAAGGGTGAAATAAAATAAAAGCTAATCAACTACATGATATAGCACTAGCAAATCTATTCTGTAATTACTTATTTTATTTTATTCCTGCACGTAATGCTTTAAATAGTAAATTATCAAAAGAAAAAGCAGAGCAAACTAAGAAATCAGCAACATGGCATTCCTCTGACCTGCATCTCTATGCTCCAGATTCTGTAGAATGAGTTGTAAGAATGAGTGAGAGTAAGTATGGATGGATATTGACTCCTCTTGAAGAATTGTCAAAAGAGAAACAGCTGCTGTTAATTGCATTTCCACACCTGCAACAGGTAGAACTTCCTATATAATCAGAAAAAATAATACCTAAGCAAAAGATATACATACATTAAGCAAATACAACAGGTATAAAGAGTACAGCTTATTGTTTGTAAAATTTATCACATCTTAATCTAATTTATAATTATTGTGTTTTATTGTAGTTTTGCTTTCTCACACTTTTAAGACAATTGAACATGGCTGCCTTAACATGCCCACTTCTTCTTAGGCACTCCACTGTGATTGACCAAAAACAAGGATTCTTACTCGGCTGGCTCTGCACCAGCGGTCCTCTCCTGCCATTGATCCACCAGCGTTCTTTCCCCGCCCCTTCATCAATGGTGTTTCATAGAAGGATATTTTTCCATAGCCATATGGCTGTGTGGGACATATAAATGTGCATTTGGGCAGCCAATCTGCATGCCAAGAGGTGGGCGGCCTCGGGCACGGGGAGGTGGGTGACATTGCTTTGATGTGCAGGCAAGGAGAGGGGAAAAAAGCAGCCTGTACAAAAAACCCTCTTTGCATTCCCCCCTTCTCACTCTTTCCTCCAGCAGCACCTGGACAGAGTTGGAGGAGGTTAAAAAAAAGAGAAGGGAGGAAACGGGGATCTCCCTTGTGTTCTTTCAGTTTTGGGATGAACTCACCTCTTCCTTTCAAGGACCAGATTCAAATTTCTCACCATGAGGCAAAAATACTCACTTTTCCTCACCTATCGCATCTCCCCCATGCTGACGTTTTTGGGTGTGAAGGTCTTAAGAGTCTTCACATGGGTTTCTGTCTGTGTGTGAGGCTGTTGAGAGAGCCAGTTTGGAAGGGGGGAGGGCGGGTTAGGCTCTAACCCTTCACTCAAAACTAGCCAGACTTTTTTGCCTGCTCTTCTGTCTTCCTGTGATTTCAAGATTCTCCCTTTAAAGTCTGCCATTTGAAGAAACTGGGAATCAGCAACAATTGTTTCAGCATTGCTGTTTCTCATTAATATTTGGAAGAAAATATTGGCTTTGCAGTATTTTGCAGCTAAGCGGTAAAGCCATATCAGCTCGTTATTAACCTTGTCATTATACCAGCATGGGGGGATGCAGTCTCCTGAAAGGCTGGGAAGGGAAAGACCCTGCCTCCAACTATCCCCCTCCCCAAATGGGCCACTTTCCCCCCCTCTCCTTGCATGCACAAGAAAGCACCGTCCCCCACTTCCCCCTGCTTAAGGTCGCTCACTCGATGCGCGGATTGGTTGCCCGGATGGAAAAGTATCCCTCCGTGAAATGCCCAGGATAAAGAGGCAGGGGAAGAACGCTGGCGGAGCAGTGGCGGGAGAGAAGCGCCAGTGAACAGCCAGCCAAGTAAGAATGCCCATGTTAGATCAGTTGCGATGGAGTGCCCGGGAAGAAGTGGGCGTGTTAAGGCAGCAATGTTCAATTGTCCCATTCTGACATTATTTTGCTTGTTTGATGAATATTTTAGCAGATTAAATCTTTGGATTGGTATAAACTTGTTTCATTTCTTTTTCCTAGATCATACAATCTGACTATATATTCCAGCTAATTTTTTCTCCTAATTTCAGCTCAATCTCAATGCCAGCCTTATAAATTAGACCAGACTAGGAAACAAATATAGTATGGACCTAAAGCTACTTTTATTAATTCAGCTATAATAACAGAATCTCAGGAGGGAATATTTTATCAACTGGAACTTGATCAGAGGCTTATTTAGGGATTTGGGACACATAGAATATATATATTTCTGTTAATTAAAAATATATTCTATTTATAGATATCTGATTTCCCAGTTTTTTCTTGTTGTTCAAGAATCAAGTCATGTGCCACTGTCTGTGTCAGCACTTAGCAATTACATTGATAGATAAACTGACTTAAATATAAGTAAATTAATTTTATAATATGATATGGAATATTACTAGTTTTGGTCAATATACGAGAGAGGGATTAAATTTCATAGAAAATATTATTATTTTTACAGAGTATCTTATCCAAGAATATTTGGGGGCAAGGGAAGATTAAATTTAATCTGAATAAAGTACAGGTAGTCCTCGATTTACAACCACAACTGAGCCCGAAACCTCTGTTGCTAAGTGAGACATTTGTGAAGTGAGTTTTGCCCCATTTTACAACCTTAGTTAATTTAGTAATATGTGAATGTGAATCCGGCTTTCCCATTGACTTTGCTCGTCAGAAGCTTACAAAAAGGGATCACATGACCCGGGGACACATGATGCTGGAATACTGCAACCGTCATACATATGAGTCAGTTGGCAAGTGTCTGAATTTTGATCACATGACCATGGGGATGTTGCAATGATCATAAGTCACTTTTTTCAATGCCATTGTAAGTTTGAAGAGTTACTAAACAAACTGTTGTAAATCGAAGACTATACAGGTAGTCCTCGACTTATGATCACAATTAAGCCCAACATTTCTGTTATTAAGCAAGATAGTTGCTAAGTGAATTTTTCCCTATTTTATAACTTTTCTTGCCACAGTTAAGTGAATCAGTATAATTGTTAAATTATAACACAGCTGTTAAGTGAACCTGGCTTTCCTATTGATAGACGGTCACAAAAGGTGATGATATGGCCCTGGGACACTGTAACAGTCACAAATATGAGGCAGTTGCCAAGTGTCCAGATCTTGATCATGTGACCATGGGGATGCTGCAATAGACAGAACTGTGAAAAACAGTCATAAATCACTTTTTTCAGGGCTGTTGTAATTTCTAACAGTCACTAAATGAATGGTTGTAAGTTGACTACCTGTACATAATTTTTTTAAAAATAAAATATTCACAGCTATTAAAATCAGTTGGAGTTTTGTTCTTTGTATAACTGGAATGCATACAATACTTTAATAGGAAATCATGCTATACCTACTCGAACTTTTGGCAAGACTCTCCTCAGTGTCTCTGTAGGATTCTGTCGCATCAGGACTGGAAGATTTGCAACCACACTTGTCCCTTGGATGTCTTGACCAGAACTTATTTTTTTAAAAAAGAACAATTTTTAAAATACATTTTCTATGAGATCAAGTTTAATAAAAAGAAAAGAAAAATTGCTAGGAAATGAAACCTCATATCATAAAAATACATAAACCATATAAATCAATTTTGAAAATAAAAACACGTGTAAAAAATAATTATTTACACATACTATTAAGATAACACAATAAAAGGAACTCAGTAAAACATAACCAACCATTATGATTTGCTTTAAATGAATTGAAAATATTTCAACTTTTACTATCAGACCTTCCTCAGAGTATCATTTAATTGATTTACACAACATGTTTCTAGACAGACAACTGAGCTAAATTTTCAGCTTATAACAATGTAGATTTAGTCACCCAAGTTCACAAGTTTTGGAATATTTTTCATTTCCAAATTATTATTTGAATAAGAAACATATTTTGACATCATTATATTTTAGAACATAATAATCTAATGTGAATAGACTTGAGAAAAATGATTTTGTATCCATTAGTGCAGTTCTTTGAGTGGTTCCCTGAATTCACACACATGGGTAATGTGCTTGCACAAAGTCCTATTCAAAACCTTACAGAACTTAAAAGATTTGAAAGGATGTCCTGCCCTCCCATGTATATAATGTGATTAGCTGAACCTTTTCAGATTTTAAAATTAACACAGCAGATCTGAAGGAAAAATAAGATCACCTGAGACCAAGCAAAGTAGAGGAGTGGGCTGTGTGAATTCATAGTTGACCACTCAAAGGATGCAGTTAGAAGTAAAATTCCAGCTCTTCTTCATCATGATCTCTTCATATACAAGTTTCAGCAGCAAATTATTTATCTGGAGGGGGATCTGGAGAAGGGGAATGAAAGAGATGACAGCCTTTCTAATGGTTGTGTCTTTCTGGGAGTGGAGATCCAGTTTATAGTACGGGATTAAATTGGGAAATTAATTTTGGTTGGGAGAATATTGGAATGACTACAGTACAAATTGGAATGGAGTAGGCTGTTTGCTCAGTAAATACAAATATAATGATGGGTGCTATCCATTTGAAGAAATCTGGAAAGAACATATCCTTTAAATGGGCCTTGAAAGCTATTCCCCCCCCCCAATTGATGCTAAAAATGATACTGCACAGTTCTGTATGAAAAATGAAAGGATGGTGGTCATCCAACAGATGAAATAATGTTCTGAATTCTGAACCAAGTATCTTAGATGCAGAGTTTAGAAGGGGAGGTACCAGTGGTAAAGAATGCATTGAGATAGAAGACACAAAAATAATATTTTGGTAAGATGGTCAGATACAGAACAGAAACAAGTATGCAAAAAGTATATAGTTTATAAATAGAATGAGAACTGAATTGCAAAACAAATATATAAAGAAAGAATTAATAAAGAAGGGGAAGACAGAGAAAAGCTGTCTGGATGAAGATAATGAAGTCCTCATTATCCTTTGACCTCTCAAAAACAGAGAGGTCATAAGTTTAAAAAACCAAGGATAGTGTATGAAGTAGTATTTAGATGTGATAGAAACAAAGACAGTTTGCAAGGACAAAAATATAAGGAGACACAGTGAATGTTGATAAAGTAAACTAGATCTGCGTAAGTTTCCTTTTATTTTATTTATTATTTATCGTTTATTTCTTGCCTTTAGTTTCTTTAGAATATTACCACTGTGTATAATGTTGTTTTCAAACAGCAACAGCATGATGAGTCCGTATGTATGAGCAAAACCAAAGAAAGATCTGAATTACAAAGAAGTAGGATTATATATGTGATTGATATTTCCCTGACAAATTGTGGGATATATTGTTATGCTGTTATTTTTGTTTAACTGTTTTGATCTTAATATGTATTTAGGTATGCAAGCTGCTTCCAATTCATTTCAACTAGGACAGCATATAAACCAAGTAGGAAAGGAAGGGAAGGAAGATAGGAAGATGATACCGGGCTGATGTTACACTGTGGACAGTGAAAATGCCAGTTTGGTATATGGCTAAACAGAAATCTATATGGTAACTATGTGAAATTAATAGAACTCAAATTTGCCTACTGAGTCAGTTGCATGACAAGCTGTAATTACTTGCTTGATAAAAGGTTGCTTCTGTTTTAAAATGCTGGCAAATGAGATAGGAATGAAGATACCTTCTTCTACAAAAAATGAACATTTATCAAAGAACATAACATGGGTCCAAAACTAATTTTCTGCCCTCATACTAAGTATGAAATAAGTAGTGAGACATCAGTACTGGATTTTCAGGAAAAAATTCTGCATTCAGCATTCAGGATAACTGAATGCTGAATGCAGAAATTGTTTCTGAAAATCCAATTCTGATGTCTCACTACTTATTTCATACTTAGTATACTTAAATATTAGTATATTAGTATAGTATAGTATACTTAGTATACTTAAATATACTGCCAAACAAATATAGACTAATAGTGGCTTACAAAATTGTCATAAAACGTATGAGATTTATTTACTTTACTTTACTTATTTGTATAGTACTCAATCCCAAAAAGCTCTAAGTAGATAAACCTAATGGTGGGGGCACCTACCGTCTGGAATGAGCTCCCCCCGGAGATACGGAGGATCCCAGATCTGCGCACCTTCCGCCGCGCTATGAAGACCTTTTTATTCCACCAGGCGGGCTTGGCCTAATCTTTTCCCTCTTTTTAATATGTAAATTTTAATCTGTTTTTAAATTATTGGGGTGTTTTAATCTGTCTGGGCCAAAATGATTTAATTCGATTTTATCTGGTTTTTAAATTTTTTGTATCTATGTATTTTATTGTTTGGCTGTTCACCGCCCTGAGTCCTTCGGGAGTAGGGCGGTATACAAATCAAATAAACCATAAACTAACTAACTATAAACTAATCTCATCATAAAATAAGACTCTGATTACAAAAAAAACCCCAAAACCTAGAAACAAAAACTGTTCAAAGTAAAAAAAATAAAAAATAAAACCAGAAAGTTATAGCAATCGTATACTTGCAATCTCCTTTCTAATCAAAGCATTCTCTCCTCCTGTGCCACATGGAATTGGCAGTTTTTAGCAGCTTTCCTAAAGCTTAGAAGAAACATAGACAACCAAAACTGTGCAGGAAGGGAATTTCAAAGTGTGGGTGTGTCTATTGAGAAAGTTAGCTTATAAAACCCCATCAAATTATGAAGGGGAAAGAGTTGACCTTACTCAGATCAGTCTGTCTGATGAACAGAGTAGAAAGCAGTCCCACAGATACAGGTGGTCCTCAATTTAACTGTCACTTTAAAATTGTTTGGAGTTACGAAGGACCCAAAACAAGGAACTTATGATCAGTTTTGACATTCTGATGCCTCCTGTGGTCATGTGAACACTTTTTGGATGCTTGACAACCAGCCCCTATGTACCGCACCACTTCTGATTTCTAGCATAAAATGCTCATTGTGGACAATGGGTTTACTTAATGACCATGGCATTCACCATGGCAATCCACAACTGTGTATTTGCTTAACAACCACCACAAAAAGTCAAGTGATAATCTGATTAATGACCAGCATGAATTACAATCGTAATTCTGGGCTCCATTACTGTCATAACTCAAAGACCATCTGTAGGCACATCTGCGGGGTGAAATGCTCCCGGTTCTGACTGGCTCGGGCGAGTAGGTAGCGATGATGGCCGATGATTCGGACAACCGGTAGCAATGGCAGCTGGAGGCTCCGCCCATCTGCCCACCCGCCCCATTCCCCGACTCCGGCCTCGCCGTGGAGCTGCAGCCTGCTCGCCCTTCGCCACGCTGTGTATCCTACTGCTCACCTTTCTCCCGCGGCTGGCTGTCAGGGAAGGCAAGCAGCCAAAAGTTACCGGAGTCACTCACTCTCCTTCTTGAATGAGCCACTCTGGTCCATGCGCCGGCTGCGCAAGCGCACACCGTTTATTTAATTCACTCATCAGCGGCAGGTTGGGTGTGCGCTTGCACAGCCAGCGCGTGGACCAGAGCGGCTCATTCAAGGAGAATGAGCAACTCCGGTAACTTTCGGCCGCTTGCCTTCCCTGACAGCCAGCCGCGGGAGAAAGGTGAGCAGTAGGAGTCGGGGAATGGTGCATTCCCCAACTCCAGGGAATGGGGCGGGTGGGCAGAGCCGCGTGGCGAAGGGCGAGCAGGCAGGGGCTCCGCGGCAAGGACGGAGTCAGGGAATGGTGCATTCCCCGACTCTGGGGAATGGGGCGGTGGGCAAAGCCGCGGAAGAAAGTTAAGGACACGCCGGCAGAATAGAAATTTAATAAGTTTTCCTACCGGGTTCTGTGGGTGTGGCTTGGTGGGACGGGGTCTTGACTGAGTGGGCATGGTTGGGAGTGACATTGAGTTGGCCATGCCCACTCAGACACAGGACACCCCCCCCACCAAGCCACACCCACAGAACCAGTAGGAAAAATTTTTAGATTTCACCCCTGCACATCTGGAGTCATTACGACTTTAAGAATTATAACTAGTACTTTGAATCACACCTAGAAGCCAAATGGCAGCCAGCGTAACCATAACCAGTCAGGCAACTCACATATATTAGGATATACCTAACACTGCTCAGGCACCTTCATTCTGTATCAACTATAAATTCCAAATGTTCTTCAAGGTACAGCACATGGTGATGGGGAATGCCTCACAATCCAGGAATGCCTACAATTGGTACACAAGATGTAATGTGTAAAAACCCTTCTAGCTAGAGCTGCCATTTCTTCAGTGAATAGGAATTGTCAGTCAAGAAGGACCCCCAAATTACAAACTATCAGTAACTAATGAAAGTTACAATAAATTACAATAGTGATAATGAAAAAAAATAAATTATAAATAATTCAATGTAAAATAAACTAAAGACTATGATAATGAACTATTCAACCAAACATTCTTTAGAAGTTCCATTTTGAATAGCTTCCAGAACATTAGAAGGAATTAAGCAATAATTAATTCTAGGGTGAAACACTTTCACAAGCATGGAGCAGCTACTAAGAGACAGTATCTCTTGGT